GCAATTCTTCATAGCAAAGACCTGAGTCAATAATGGTAAAGTATAGCAAGTAGCTCTCTTACATCGAGATGGACATCTGCTACTCATCCCCCAGATTCCTCCAGTTTGTAGGTTGAAGAACCTTCCACCTCAGTGTGAGGATCTCACTGATGATGACAGCCAGAGGCTGCAACTGCAAAACTCCCCATCCATCTGGGCATACCCGGCATATACCTCTGCTCTCCCAGGCTTGGTTCCAGGCCGTTGAACAGGGAAAGTGTGATCAGACCGCAATGTAATCAGCCTCGTTCAAGTGATGCCGCACTGTTTCAAGAGGGTCTCTGAGCTGTGTTTCTGAGCACTGGGCAAAAGAAAATAATAATTTGATCATTCAATCCATGACTGTTTGTGGGAGGCTGCTGTGTGCAATTGGCTGCCATGTTGTTCCCCCCAAATAATTAACTTTACAGTATATTCTGTGAAGCGCCTTAAGACATCTCAAAGACGTGATAAGGCGCTATATTAAATGCAAGGATTAATATTATTATTGGATCCATCTGAGCAGTTCCACCAGCACGTCAACTTGCACAGCGATGCATTGGGAGTAATGCATTGTTTGCAGCTTCTTGTTTAATTTCTTCCTCGAATAGCAGAGTACAAATGATAGCGGAATGTCTTTTGCTTTCAAATATATTTGCTCCCATCTTGCTCTTCAGTAAGCATGAGTTGAAGGCCAGGAGACAGCCTGTACACACCATGGCTCTATTCAGGCAGCCTAACAAAACCTTTAATTTGTCGAGCAAATAATTGTAGCTTTTCCAAACTCTGCAAAATATTCAAGGTGATTGCTTGATTTTATGCAGATTTCCCCAAGCCCCTTTCAGTATTTCTATCTCAGTATTCTCAAACAGGCAGAGCAGCACGGATAATGTGTACAGTTTCCCATATAATTAATAGGCTCCGTTGGCTGTTAGACCTTCACTTTGGAACTCGTTTCAGGGATAGGGGCCCGTGGGCAAGTGTGTCTCTTTCGGAAACCGGTTATGCCAGTGAAAAGGGCAGAATTGGAAAATGTACAGGTGCCCACCTACTCCTGAATATTAGAAGCCCTTCAAATATATACATTTTTAACTATGTAATCCAAAGGGTAAATATTGCAAAGCTTTTAAAATTTCACATGAAAGGGTGAGGGAAATAAATTGTTATGTCAAGCAAACGAGTACTTGGTTTATTTACACCTTTGTGGGGTAGGTGAGGGCCCCATAATTCTGCACATAAACTGCGACGATCTACAAACCTATTTCCTGTAAATTCCAAAAGGAAAGCGGAAAGTAAAATAACATTCCTTGTTGGCAGGACTTGGTTTCCGAAAGTGACTGCAAAATAGAGAGCTAATGGGGAGGGGGGAGAGAAGGAGGGTTTAAATATTTAGACACAGGAAAATGATATACTGGTATTCCTTTCCCTATTCTCCAATGAAAAATAAACTTAAATTCCTTTGAGGAGCATTATCTGCATTTGATGTTGGAGCTCCACACTTGGGAATAGGCTGTTGAATTGTTGCGCCAGCAACCAGGTGTTGAACAGAACTTTTGGAGCAAAATATTCCTGAGGGCACTCAGTATGACAGTTGTGTAAGAATAGATTACTCAAATATTTGTGGTTCTGTGAATTCTCTCAGGGCATTGGGTATCTGAGACTCCTATGTTCAAGAATGTAAGGCTGTCAGGTGCTAACATGTCGTGATGCTGCTTTCAACGATAACAACAAATTGCAGTTAATATAACGCCTGTCGCATTAGGAGGATGTCCGAAAGCGCTGGACAGCTGAGGGGTTGCACCTGAGCTGGGGGTTGTATTCAGGAAGGGTCTTGAGAAGGACCTTGGAAGGGGCGAGGCGAAGAGACGCTCGGATGAAGTTCCAGAGAGTGGAGGCAGAATGGTGGCCAAGGGACGTGAAGTAGGCCAGTGCCTGCAAAGTGGAGGGAGAGGTTGGGTTTTAGGCTGAGTACGGTGCGGCAGGACCATGGAGGGAATTAAAGGTGAGGACAAAAAAAGAACGGATGAGGAGAAAGAGCCCTGGTGATGTCGGAGAGAATTATCATCTGTGACCTTGATCAGGGCAGTTTCAGCACTGTGGGCAGTATATTCTAGACCCAATCATCTGCACTTAAAGGGCTGCCCCATTATGGGTAAGGAAACAGTGCAGATAATTGGACATCCTTTTGATTGGACATCCTCTTTTTTTCCTTTTGACCAAACCCTCCACTGTATAAAAGTAATCATCAGGACTCGCAATATCTGTATAAAGTATCCAGGCCACGCCTTTACGCAGGGTTACGAGGTTACACGCTGTTGGCTCAGTGGTGCAATGCAACTAAATTGCTTCTCTCGTAGCCTCGTGTACATGTGTGGAATGTTGTGCATGTGCCCCACTGGATTTTTCTTTGCGCTAATTTGTGTGCCCAATCGTGGATGTTCTGCAGAATAAGCAAGGCGATTTCTGTTGCATAAACTGCTGAAAATGTGAAACCAGTGTTTAATACCCTGTGTAATTGGGAATGGGGAAGGTTGTCTTTTCATTCAGATTCTGGCTATTCTGTTTCATGCAGGTAAGAGCTTGTGAGCGGAGGTGGCTGAAGATATATTTGCATGAATGAAGAAATTATTCTGAAGGTGTTTTATTTTTAAATGTTGGGTGAGGGTTTTATCTCGTGAAGTTTTAGTGTAGAGTGAGCATAACCTATTTATTCTTATAGTGATCACAGAATTCTGTTTTGCTGCACCAGTACTATCCAGCACTTGTTTATCTTTCCTCTTCCATTTTTACCTTAGCACATCTGCCTTCAGTCGGGAGGGAAGTGCAGTGAGGTCATGGACATAGAGATGTTATTTCCGGACTCGATATTAAGGCTGAGCTTTGTTCAATGAATGTTTGCTTTTGGTTGAGTGATTAAAAGACCAAGGTTGTGTTGTTTTTTTCTTACTCTTCCTGTGTGTAGTGACTGCTTGACTTGAACTGGTGTTCATGGTTTCTTAACAGATACGTGACCAGGACGTTGCAGCCTATTGGAACTGCAAAGCATAATGAGTTGTAAATTGTTGTACTGTAGGCAAGTACGTTCTCCTCTTGGTCACTTAAGTGACAAACGACTGTATTGCAGATAGGCACGAGTTCTGCTGTGAGTTCAGAACAGGCAAGAGTTCTACTGCGTCTATACTTGAACAAGGAAGGTGTTACTAAGCAAGGAAAAGGAGTAATCAGTGAGGAGGATAGCAGCAGACTGCAAGAGGACATAGACAGACTGGTAACGTGGGCCGACACGGGGCAGATGAAGTTTAATGTGGAGAAATGTGAAGTGAAGCATTTTGTGAGGAAGAATGAGGAGAGGCCATATAAGCCGATGGTACAATCTTTAAGGGGGTGAAGGGGCAGAGAGACCTGGGGGTCATACAAGTAAATATTTGAAGGTGGCCGGACAGGGAGATAAAGCTGTTAAAAAAGCGTACAGGATACTGGGCTTTATAAATAGGACCATAGAATACAAAAGTCAGGAAGTTATGATGAACCTTTACAAAATACTGGTTAGGCCTCAGCGAGAGACTCAGGCGCCGGCAGCATCAGCCTCCACGGCCGCACACTCAACCTCACTAAGCCGGTCAGGAACCCGGGTATCTCGTTTGACCCTGAACTGTCCTTTCTCCCCCACATCCGCACCATGACCGGCACTGCCTACCACCACCTCCGCAACATTGCCAGACCCCGCCACTGCCTCACCCCTCAGGCCCCCAAACCCTCACCCACGCATTCGTCACATCAAGGCTCGATTACAGGAACGCCCTCCTCATCGGTCTTCCCAACTCTTCCCTTTACAAACTGCAGATCATCCAAAACTCTGCAGCTCGTGTACTCTCGCGCACCAGGCTCCGTGACCCCATCACTCCCACCCTCGCCCGACTCCACTGGCTCCCCATCCCCCAGGGGATCGAATTCAAGATCCTCATCCTCACCTTTAAGGCCATCCATGTCCTTGCCCCCTCCTACCTCTCTGTCCTACTGACTCCCCACCAACCTGCCCGCTCCCTCTGTTCAGGGGCCTCCGGTCTGCTCCATGTTTCCCGTCCGACCCGCCCTATCATCGGTGGCCGGACTTTCAGCCTTTTTGCCCCCACACTCTGGAACTCCATCCCACGGTCCCCTCGCCTCGCTTCCTCCCTCGCTTCCTTCAAGGCCGGTCTCAAGACCCTTCTCTTCGACAGTGCCTTTGGTCGCCCTCCCACCTCTCTGCCTTCCCTCACCCCTACCCCACCCCTCCCCCAGGCTCAGGCCCTGACACCTGACTGTTCAGCGCTTTGGGACATCCTCCCGATGTGAAAGGTGCTCTATAAATAGATTTTTTTTTGTTGTGTTCAGTTCTGGGGACCACACTTTAGGAAAGATGTCAAGGCCTTGGAGAGAGTGCAAGAGATTTACCAGGATGGTACCAGGAATGAGAGACTTCAGTTATCAGGAGAGGTTAGAGAAGCGAGGATTATTCTCCTTGGAGCAGAGGAGGTTAAGAGGAGATTTAATTGAAGTTTTCAAATGTATGAGGGGATTCGATAGGGTGAACATGGAGAAACTATTTCCACTGGCGGACAACCTGAGGACACCGATTTAAAATAGTTGTTAAAAGAAATGGAGGGGGGGGTGAGGAGAAATTTTTTTACACAGCGAGTTGTTGGGATCTGGAATGCATTGCCTGAAAGGGCGATGGAAGTCGATTCGATAACAACTTTTAAGAGAGAAGTAGATAATTATTTGGGGAGGACAAGTTTGCAGGGCTATGGGGAGAGAACGGGGGAGTGGGACTGAAATGGATAGCTATTTTCAAAGAGCCGTCACAGACACGATGGGCCAAATGGCCTCCTTCTGTGCTGTATAATCCTATGATTCTATAAGGAACTCATGAGTAATGTGATCTTGCCAACAACAACAAAATAAAATTGCTTTCTGAGTGATCGCTTTTCTTCCTCATTTAGTTCCAGAAGGCAGAGTCTGACCTGGATTATATTGAGCACAAACTGGAGTTTGAGTTGGTGAAAATTCTTCCCCAGAACGTATCTTCAAAGGTATTGTACAGAACACTGCACATTATTGAAAAAATATTGTTGTTTGGTTAACTTTTTTCTTGATGTTTAAACAGAGTAGCTTTACTTTATTTCTGTGCACCACAGACATGCAGTACTCGTCTGTTATTTAAACAAGTAATTTGGAATTAACTACACTTGTCCACATTTGCCCATTATTTGTCATTCACTTGTAAGTATAATTCTGAAATGTCCTGTAGCTCAGTGGTTAGAGCACTCGCTTTGCAAGCGAGAGACCTGAGTTCAATTCCAGGCAGAGGGTGAAACCTTGGGCAAGTTTCCTTACTCCACACAGAGCCTAATAATAATCCCTCCAAAACAAAACAATAATAAATTGGTCATTTTCAATCTACAACTGTTTGTGGGACATTGCTGTGCGCAATTGGCTGCCGCGTTCGCCCACAAATATACAGTCAATTCACTTTACAGTGTGTTCTGTGAAGGGCTTTGGGACGTCCTCCCGACGTGAAAAGCGCTATATCAAATGCAAAGATTATTATTATTATTTTTATCTAAAATGTATGAACTGCAGAAACATCAATCATTTACATGAGCTCTATTTGTAGGAGTTAAAGTACTGGTGTGTAGGGTATACTTGATTAATTTTTAATTTAATTGAAATAGTTAACCATTTATTTTAGCCTAAGGTGTTGCAGCTGCTGTATTGATACAACAGTTTGACAAAATTAATTTGTAATTTTTTTAGAACAATCCAGTAAAACTGCTTGAAATAGCGAAGGTAATAAAATCTCGTTATCGCGACTTGTCTGCAGAAGCAGATCAGATTGCTGCAGAGCAAAGGGAATCGATGGATTTCATACGTTCACAACTTGCCACCACACTGCAAGTCTTGCACAAGTTACAGGAACAGAGTGACCTAAAGGTACGGCTTTCAAATATCCATCTTGACCATTCATTCATTATTTCTTCCAGATCATTATTCCATTTTTTGATTGTTACTAATTAAGTTATTTCTCCTGGTTGAGCTATCTTGTATTTCCCTCCGAATCCAAATTTATCTCTGAATTCAATTTGTCTATTCCCCGTGTTTTTTTTTATGGCACCAGAGTAGCTGTGGTGTCTGTCTGTATAACATTCACATTATTTTAAAAAAAGGTTTTACAAGCGTTTGGATGTTTATTTTGAATATGGAAGGTGCTGTATAAATTCAAGTTATTGTTTGATCCTTGGCTGAATGCTCCTCCCAACAGTTTTAATGAAGGGAGAAACTGAATGGAAGAGACGGTTGCTTACATAATGTGGCTTTGCTTTTTGCTATAGTGCTGCGCTCTGGTGTGAATTACATACATTATATATGGTAATTTGGGGTAGAGGAAAGTCCTTGATGCTTTTCCCTTTGTACAGCAGAAGCCATTTTGAATGGGGTCGTCTGTACCTTGTGCCTAACAGTGATGTGGTAGACTCTGGTATAGACTCCGGCAGTGGAAAAACTGGTTACGTCACCACTTAGACATGGCTGTTGAAACCTTTTATTAATTGAGTTATATATAAAAAAATATTTAACATTTGGTACTCGATTTGTATTTTTTTGGCTTCTCAGTTTCCTCCACTGACTGAGGAGGAGCAGGCGGCTATTCAAAACATTCTGAAATTTGAGGTTTCAGTTGACGCAGGCCCGAGTGAGTCCAGCGAGGTATGTTGTGCTTTTTTTAAAATACGTCAATTTTTTTGTATTTTCAATTTATCATTCATATAAAAAAAATTTTATAGGATGCTTGTGCAGAGTCTACAAAACCATTCTTCCTTTGATTTCTATGTAGAAAATTATGATGATTTACTGTGCAAGTTTTCAACTTTTTTCCAATTAAGACTGGCCGTTTTCAGCTACAACCTATCTTGGAAGAACTTGCAGTTACAGTATCTAGACAAATACATGCTTTGTTTTATTGTGGAATTTCCGAACTAGCTACAGATAATTTACTAAGAAACCATATGTATCAGGATTTTGTGCTTCAAGATGTAGTTTAGGGTAAGTTCATTCATTTGTCATAGGAATGGTGATTATATTGCTGACTGCCCAGAACAAATTAAGATTATTTTTTACCCACTTTCTGAAAAAATGATATAAGGTTTGACTAAGGCCTTTCTTTCGGTCTGTATGTCCCTCATTACTGCTTCCCAAAAGTGTGTGTTTGTTTAGACCTTGGTTTCCCTTGTAGATGACTTGAGTTACAGTGCATGTGTCACACTCCATTCTAAATTTACTGTCTTTCTCCCACTTCTGTCTGAAGGGATGTGAGGGATACACTGAATATGTAAATTGTTCAAATGCTGATGTGCACATAGTATTTGCTTTATAACAACTACTTAAGCAGAAGCCAGGAACTGAGAGTAGGTCAACAAAAGCGAAACCAGTGAAATGTACAATGACTTGTGTATTGATCTCTCCAGTATCAAGTAGTCCCTGTTCAAACACAATATTTTATTTATTTTAGAAAGACTGCTGCAATTGGCAGACAAAACCTATTTCCGCATTTGAAGTGGAAGCCGGACTGTAACTGGCTGTGGAAACGTTCACAATGTAATGAGGTTTTGAAAACTAAAATATGCCAGTTTTTTTGTATTTTCAATGTATCATTCATATAAAAAATTGTTTTATAGGATGCTTGTGCAGAGTCCACAAAACCGATCGCAGGTATGTTACTTGCAAAACAGATTTTAACCTGGAGAACTTTAAGCTTTCTGAAATTTTTTAACTATACTGATGGGTTCTTCCTTATATATTTTAGCGGATGAAGGCCCCGAATTTGAACCAATCAGTGGGAAGATGTTCAAGTCTGTACCACAGGATGTAAGATTGACTGTTAAACTGCCTGATCTGAACACGTTTTATAGACAGCTGTTTGACCACTTCAAAAAGAACAAAGACTGGTGAGCAAATGACTCAGTAATTTTGGATTAACATTACTTGCTCGGCTATACAGACTCTATACAGACTAGATTTCAAATCCTGATCTATGTTGAGTTAGTTGGGACGAGGGTTCAGGAGGGGGGAATGAACCAGTGCTTCTTGGTTAGCAATCACCGTTCCTGCCTTTGATCGTTGTCCAACATATAGCCCCTACATTTTACAGTAGATCCTGTGAAGCACTTTTAAGATGTCCTCCCGATGTGAAAGGTGCTATATCAAATGCAAAGATTATTATTATCCAGAAACACTCTCCTCCCCTTCCCGCTGAAAGGTATATAAACTGGTAAAGTTGGTTTAAAATGTCTAATGGAGTTGATTCATGGGGAATGCCCTCTGTACAGGTACACATTTCTATATCTCTCTGTTACTGGTCGTTTGATCCTTTCCCCTCCTGGGTAAACAGAAAACAAACATTGCAAGTATGGGGAGGACAAGAGATTTAACTGGTGATATTCCTGTGGTTAGTATTCTACAAAATATTGATCAGTTCTATCTGCTTAGCTCTTCTAATCATCAGTCATTTGCACAACCAGATCCATGTATAAAAAAAAGTTCTAAACTCAACATGTTTAGATTTCTGCCTTGTGGTGTAATGATTTCTTTTTTTATTGTAGTACTCCACTAAGTGTGTTAAAGATGAACAAGCTGAATATGAAAGTGACTGAAGCCAAGATAAAAACACTCAAGACCCTTGAAGTAATTCAACTGGATAAAAAAGGACACGTCAGACTCTCCTTGTAATTACTGGAAGTGTCCAAGATAAAGGGGATTCTTTCATTCAGTTCCTTTTGTAACATATTTATATAATTTCACCAGAGATGTACCAAACACAGCTCACTATCTGCAAGTCTGTTGAACTTTGAAGGTCATAAGTGTTTAGTATGATTTTCGGGGAAATAATCAGACATAATGTAACTAATCTGCGTAACCAATGTCTCCCCATATGAAATACAGTCTCAAGGCTAGTTCCTTCCCTGCAGGGAGAAGAGCCAGATCCACGTTAGCATTTGTATTACATTACCTGTAATTATCTTCCCCCAAAAATCTAATCTAGTTGGGACTTAAACCATCGTTGCCTTTATTGTCTTTTGATTTCCCAATGCTGGGGTGGGATAGAGAATAAAATGTATTTATTTTAGGGTTGGACTTTTCCTTGTACAATTCAACACATTCCAGGTAATTAATGTCAGTGATATTGTTCTAAAGAAACTTAATCAAACGTGTAATTCAGTTTGAAGCTTAAAGCACTGTATCTGATCGATCACTAAAGGTAGAGGTCACAAATGAGCCTCAGATAAGGATTACTTATTTTGTGAAGTATTTTATTTTATGGACAAACTATTTGCACTCTACTTGTTCACTTTTATAATTCAACTGTTTTAGGGGTACGGATGAAGTGATGCAACACGAGAGTCGATGTTTAATGTTGAATAAAGTGAAACATGATTTGTAACGGATTCAATGATTTGCACCTACTCATGGTTCAGATTCTGTTTTAAAACGTAAACCTGTTGATTGGTGTATAAGGTCTGAATGACTTCAGAAGCACAGCATTTTAGTATTGCGTTTTTTTTTAAAAAAAGCTTCAGTGCTGATTCAATTCCAATTGATTTAATCTCTGGTTACCTGGTTAGGGTGCTTTGGAATCACTTAAAGATTTAATTTTGGGCTGTCTGGGGGAGGGAGGGGAAAAGATAAATCTGTTATGGCTCCTACCAGACATGATATTCCTTCTGGCAATAGTCTGCCTGTCTTATTTGAACAAGATATGGCATCTGTGGAGCCATACACTAGTCCTCAGGAGTGGGAGGAAAGAAGCAAAATTGTAATTTTAAAAAATCCATCAGTAACAACCACTTATAGACTTGTTTATAGACTAAGATGCAGCTCCCTTAAATGTAGTATAATAAATTGTCCAGAATAATTACAGTTTAAGAACCTTTTAATGGGTTTTGTTTACAAACCTATAATGGAATTGGTTATGGGAAGACAGAAGCTCATTCTGCTTTTCTGGTTGGACTGAGATTCCTTGTGTGGATTATGATCAGCTGCTATTTGGTTCCAAGATGATCACTCTACAAAAACAAATCATAAAGAAAAATAGAATTTAAGTTAGACATTGCTGACTTTATCAACAATAACTGTGGAAGTTGTACAGACATTGAGAGGTGCTGACAACCAATACCACTATAGAAACATTGGAAGAATTAAGGTTAACTTTGTGTAGTATGTTTACATGCACTAGCAATTGGAAACGCAGTACCTAAACTAAATAGTCTTCAGGTGACCGGGGAAACTTCTGCAATTGAGCTCGTCTGGATTTCTTAGCTCAGTACTAATAAAAGAGGAAGTGGCAAGCCAGTTGCCTTGTTTCAACAAATCAGTATTTGCATCTTGCTTTGTGAATCTCCCTTAAGGAATTGTATTTGATATAAGTAAGCAATAATCTTAATGTGAAAAAAAACTAGTAGTGTTATTGCTTCTCTTTTAGACTAGCTATAATACCTTGATTCCATCACACATTTAAAAAATGCTTTGCTACCTTACAATTTTTGGACAAAATAAAATAACGTTTTGCATCAAACAAAAGGTAGATGTCAGAATGCAGGTGAGAGCCCACGTCCAAATACTCTGCAAGGATTTCTGTCTGCTCGTAGAATATGGAAGCTCTAGGCAGACAAATTAAATAACTAAACATTTTAAGTTCTACTTTTTAGCTATTGCGTATTTTAAATGGAGAACTGCATTCTCTATTTGTAATAGGTGGTATGAAATAATTGAGTTTGATATAATAAGGACATGTACAGACACCCCCAAAGAGCTAATGTTATAAGCCCCAAAGAATAGAGATAAAGTAACATTGCTTACAAATCCTACTACATGCTGTTCCATGAAAAAACTTGTTGCTTTTTGATTTACATTTTCTTTCACGGAAAGGCATACCTGTGAGGTTGGGACCAGTTTACTCTTTGTCTATTGGAACTCTCTTCACTCACGCCATCTACAATTGTAAGAAATAAACCACATGATAAACGTCAGATAGTTTATGTGATCTTACAAAGTGGATTGAATATGAATAGCTCAAATTGAACTCGGATGAGCTGAAAAATCATTGGTTCTGTTTTTTTATTCTGCCCTTCTGAGCTGAGACATTAACATAAAATATCAATATTTGTTTAAAATTTAAATAGAGCTAAGTGAACTACTATATGCTGGATTTTAAGGTATTTCCAATAAAATACCATAAATATAAACAAACTCAATCATTAATAAGAAAATAAAAACTCTCCTGTCAAGAACTGTAAGTAAAACTGTACAATTGCAACCTCATAGTATCTTATAAAGTGATATGGCCTTTACCAAACTAAAAACTTGAAGAGTTTATAAAATATTTTTAAGTTTCCTAAACTTGGGGAAAATGGATTTGTTGTTTACATATTTAATTGGGAGTTTCTCACCACCGTTCTCCAGTTCTCTTAATTAATTTCTTACTTTCAAATGAAACATTTGTTTCTCGTGCTCTGCTTTCCAATGAGTCCTCCACTCCCCCCTCTCCAGTCTTAGTTTGTTTTCCACTGAGAGCAGAATCTTCAATATGAGGTACCCTTTCCACAAAAAATACACATTATTATAATAGAATCTTGTAGCGTTAGTCTTTAGCCTTGTATTGTTATACCTACACAAAACATGAGTTGAAGCACTTTGAGACGTCCTCCTGACGTGAAAGGTGCAATACCAAATGTAAAGATTATTATGAGTGAAGCCAGTGTAAATGAATATTGAGTAAGCCCCTTCTGTGAAAATAAGAAATATAATTCAATTCAATTAAGTTTAATACAAATACAATTAGAAATTATTAAAAATAAATTAGTGTTTATTAGATTTCCAGCAGCTCTAGTGAACAGCCACGAGGCAGCCATTCAGCCTTAAGGATTTGAATTCTAGCTGCTCTGGAGTTTTGCTGGTACTCAACTGGGCCACTAGGTAGAGGGTCAGAATGTAACTGGAGACAATAATACTAATCCTTGCATTCGATATAGCGCCTTATTATGTCTGAGACATCTCACAAGCACTTCACAGAATATACTGTGAACTGGATTGACTGTATTTTGTGGCGAGACATGGCAGGCAATTGCGCACAGCAGTGTTCCACAAACAGTCATGGATTGAGTAACTTGCCAATTGACTAACAACCAGGTTCCTACTTACTGGTATTTAAACTGAGGCGTGTGGAGTAAGGGAAACTTGCCCACCGTTTCACCCTGACCCGCCCAGGAATTGAACCAAGGTCCTTTCGCTTGTGAGCCAAGTGCTCTAACCTCTAAGCCACAGGACTCCCATTACTTATTCAAAGGTCACACAAAATACAGCTGCTTCGACTCGCACAAAAATTGCTACTGCAAGAATTCCCAATTGATTTCAGGTATTGCAAGGGGAAAACAGGACAGATAGATATGAAACTATTGAAACTGACATCTGTATAAGCTGCTCTGGCCTGAAGACCTCTTCCTTGGCTGTCTCATTCCTGTTCATTGAAACCTTGTTTACTTTTTGCTTTGGTTGATCTTGGGATTCCAGTATCCCCTCCAGAACATCATCCAACGTAGAATGAGCTCTAAGGAGGAAAGACAATCTCCATTGTATTACTGCTGAATTTTAAATTCTGCCATTCTTAATGTTGCCTGGGACCATCACATGTGAAAAGTCTAATTTAAAAGGATACATCAGATATCAAATCGTTTGGGGGCATTCGGTTATTACAGTATACTATCCTTTCCTGTGTGATCTGGGTTCAAATCCAGCTAAGACTATGGATAAATCAGGTACAGTCACCACAGTGAGTGTGAGCAGGTACAAGAATATCTTCTGTGACTGCTGTAAACAATCTTACGTTTGACTTTCCTGTGAATCTGTATACAACTAGAATTATAAAAGGTATGATTTGCACCATTTAATAGTGTTTAATTATTTGACTCTCTACCTCTCACTCTCTTCCAGTATATTCTGTATTTTGCTCCTTTCAGAATCACTGAGAAGTCTCAATATGCCATGGCTCACTTCCTGTTGCCTGTCTGGTGCAAGCCTTTCCTTCTGTTCATTGCCGTAGGCCTGAACATTCTCATCTGATGTTATACCAAATGGCAACTGCTTCATTTTTTCTGGTGACAAGAAGCGTGCCATTAGGTCTTTTCAATTGATGAGGAATATAAAATTAACATTAATTAACATTGTGTAACTTTATTAACAGAGAAACATTTTTCTCTAATTCTTGTTTGTTAGTTCACTTTTAGAAATGTAAAACTCAATGGCAACAATGTGATTTTAGCTGGTAAAACCCAAAGCACACTCGGGGGTCCCCAAACCTGGTCTCTTGTCAACCGGTTCCTTGTATTTTCCAGAATCAGGTAAGCAAGGTGTGTATTCTATTCAGAAATGGAAATTTCCATGTCTAGGTGGCATACATGGAACTCTTGTCTGGTTTGAAAAATCTTAAGCATAGTGATAGGTATACAAAAGGAAAAAGCATATAAAATCAGAAAGATGCAAGTCAAAAATATTTGCCAATGACTGAATTAAATGTGTGCATGTTGACATCCTCATAAAAAGACTTGTTAAGATTCAGCTGTGATGCCCTTTCTCAGTTATACAGACTAACTGTCAAGGTTCCAAGACAAAAGAATAGCTACTTTGGCAAAGTATTGCAGCCCGTGGCAGGAACCCAACAAGCTGACAATGGCCAACGTTAATTTGTAGTTCAATAGAAGATGCATTTATCTGAATTGGCACATAATTCTAAATGTTATAAAGGGGTATTGACATCATCTCCATCACATTCTTTTTGTGTTTCTGACAGATATCATATTCAGGCCAAATTACACAGGAAGAAAATCAGTTAACACAAGAGTGAATAAAGCAAAGCTTGTACTCACCTCGCTCCTGCTCATTGTTGTCGCACATTTCATTAGTTATGTCCATCCCCTCATTTCCTTTGCTGATAAACGCAGAATTCATTTCATCCACTGAACACTGGCTGTCGTGGCTGTTATCGGTATAGGCTGCAAAGGTGATGACTTGCCCATCAGCAAGTGTGCTGCTCAGTAAACTCGGTGCTAGCAGCATCTCTGCTTCCTGACTGAGACCTTCCTTGTCACCTGAAACAATGATTTGGGTAATTTAACTATTTCCAAACAAAGTTTCTTTCATTACAAATTTTTGCCCACAAACTATACAAAATATTCGCTTTACAGTATATTCTGTGAAGCGCTTTGAGACGTCTCGCAGATGTGATAAGGTGCTGTATCAAATACAAGGTTTATCACTATTAAATCTTAAGTTCCTTTAGCAATTCATATTTACAGAACATAGGCCTGACATTTTCTTCTAGTTTTAGTCTGTTAGACCATTTTGTCTTAAAAGGTAAGATTACCCAGAAATGTGGAAAATTCTTAAATTTGTTCTTAATTTTGAATCAAGGAACATTGGCTTCCAAATTAAGATGAAATTAAGAATTTGACTTCATTTTCTGCAATGTTAAATTTAACTCAAGAGTCTTGTAGGCTAAGACTGGGTGCTATTTCAGACCAACATATGTTATAGTGCTGTTCGATGTATAAGGGTTGCAGCAGCTTATGGAGAAAGGAAAGTGAGTGAACGTTTTGGGTCCACGTTATGACGATGGGTCTTGGACCTGAAACGCTGACTCACTTTCCTTTCTCCATAGATGCTGCTTGACCTGCTGAGTGTTCCCAGCAACTTCTCTTTCTGTATAAGAATAAAAATTGCATTTCATATAACTCTCATGGCTGTTATATAATAATCAATGAATAGAGATCAACCGTAAATACTTGTCAATTTTTCATTCATTCCATATAAGGGATACTGTGAGGCCATTGGAATCACCCCATTAATGTCCCGTGCGTGAAGTCAGTTAATTCAACAACAACAAATCTGCATTTATATAGCGTCTTTCACGTCTGTACAAACCACGTCAATACAAATCAGGGATCGATCGGGAGATTTTGCTGGTGTTCCATCGATAAGGCTGTAGTGCCAACGAAAAGATTAAATGGGTTTGATTTTGACCCTTATTAATGGAAATGAAACTCTAGTTATCCTACCTGGCTTTCTACATTGCTTGTCCTCAGACAATAAAAGGTTCTCATGCATTTTTTTGGATCCATGAACTTCTAACTCGCCACTCTCTGCAGCTGAATTATACTCAGGTACCTGTAAGGTTTTTTCCATGTTGACCAAGTAGATAGTATTAAATTGATGATTCTTATCTGTGGAATGTGGAAACGTGTAACTTAAAAAGTTACAAAACAGAGCTTCACAGGAAAGGTGGACTGTTTTGCACCTTACACTATCTACACACATTTTTTGATACGAGTCTAAATATATATTTGGTTTAATTCCTCATATATGTTTATAATAATAATTCTTGATTTGGTACAATGACTTATTTGGTTGAGAATTCTTAAAGCTTTCACTGTGAATTGTAGTGACTGTGTATTTGTTGGCAGACACAGCAGCGTCCAACAAACAGCCATGAAATGAATGACCAATTTTATTTGGGGGATTGATGGCCAGGACACTGGGAGAAACTCCCTTCTCTTCTGGGAAGTAGATGTAACGCACTGTATATATTGTGTTGTCAGATTGTGTGTAGATTCTTGACAGGATCAGTACTTGTTACTGCTTTGCATTGTTACAATAGCAGGTTAAATGGTTAATTATCTAAAATTTATAAACCGATAATAATAAACTAGAATCTTTTGCAATTACGAAAGTGGTGGGACTTGAATCTCCAAGTGCATATGAAAACTTTTGAACTGAGTTTCCATTAGAGACAGTCTTGAGTTCACTTCAAATCATGTCACAGCACAATGTCCAACGCTGCCACAGTAGCACTTACGTTTTGTAGAAGATGTGTCTCATAGGAAAAGAGTAAAGGGAAGAATTCAACGTATTTTAATGTAACACATTTTATGTATCCTACTTGCTTAAATTATTTGATGGAAAGACTATTTTTAATGGTACTCATTTAATTAAATCTTAAAGTTCACAGTCTCCTGTTTATAATAATAATAATCCTTGCATTTGATATAGTGCTTTTCACGTCTTCTAGAAGTCTCAAAGCACTTCACAGATTATTCTGTAAAGTGAATTTGGGAGAAACATGGCAGCCAATTGCGCACAGCAGTGTCCTACAAACAGTCTTGGATTTAGTGACCAAATTAATATTATTATTAATTATTATTTTTTAAGGGATCTTTATGCCTGGAAAAGCGGTCCACCAGTTGATTAACAACCGGGTTACTACTTACAGCTAAGTAAACAGAGGCGTGTGGAGTAAGGAAACTTGCCCAACGTTTCGCCCTGCCCGGGAATCGAACCCAGGTCCTCTCGCTTGCGAGGCGAGTGCTCTAAACCACTAATCCACAGGACTCCACAACATATAGTGCCACCTAGGGGCTCCAGGCATGCGGGCACGCTATGTGTTGCAGAAAGGACTTTTCGTTATACGGTATCATGAATTGAATTCGCCTCACATATACGAGTTACTGCTGATTGATCCATTTAAAAAGAAGAAACATGAGCTTTAAGCCTAACACATAATAATTCAGAATTTAACCATTACGTTACATATAAACATTATAGAATCTGAAATGAGCTTTCAAGCCATTCACCTGAGCCATCAAGAGGAGGTAGCAACCAGAGGCAAGGTACCTTTACACCAGAAAGCAAAGAAGCTTGCGCGGTGAAACAACTAATACCACGCTCGCATGTCTCCCAGCTTAAGAATGATGTACACAAAAAATTTATATCAATAGTTTTGGATGTCCTATTTATCAGGGAATGGGGATGAGTGCTGAAGGAAATGTATTTCAAATAGAACAAAATTCTAAATAAAACATCTAGAAATGTAAAATATTTACAATGGAGCAAACTCAAATGTTACAAAATGTGACATATGAAATGTTGTTAACTTGCGCCATGAATTATTATGATCCTAAAAGTTATAAAATGTAAGGATTATTATATTATTATTTTATAAAAAGTACTTTACATTCAATTGATGATTCGTAATCAGACCGTTGACCAGAGATCCTACCTTTTAGACCGGGGGAAGAGACTGGTGATAACTTTGCTTTGACCACTCCCAATGGAGAATGAGCAATACTGTGCACAGATGGTGCCACCTAAAATAAGAATAGTAGAGGTTTTATATTTGCAATCTCATTGTGACTTGGTAACACTAAAGCTGAGGAATTCTGAAGGATAATCAGACTTACCTATAAGAACCACTATATATAACTAGTTTATTGGAGATTGACTAACTGCTCATATTAGTCGAATTCTGAGGCTAAAATCTTGTAAATACGTAAATGTCAATCACTAACTTATCATCGAGAGCTCCACATACACAGAGATTTCTGTTAGACTGGAATGCAGTGCACACGCTCCTCGAAAGAACATACCATTCTTACTCAATCCCAAAATGTATTAGATGCAGATTGGCAACAGACAAGACTTGGGGTCCTCAGGGGGCTTAAACCAATTTAGGTTTCCATTGCTGAACAGCTGAGATCAGCCAACTCTGTACAGATAGGAGATAAAAACTGGGACTTGCTGAGAAAATAGTGTTCGTATAATGTTATGTACTGACCCATTCAGTTGTTGCTGAGAACTGTGTTTCACGTTGAGTACTGGGTGATTCCAATTTGCTGGTCCCATCACACGCTGTAGCAAATGTCCTAGGGATTGATGCACTTGAATCACAACTGGGCCACAGGGAGGTGTTTAAATTCTTACTAGTTTGGATCAGGAGTGGTTCAGATCTAGTTTTATACAGTCGATGACTTTGGGACAATTTCTTCCCTAGAACAGAATACATAGAATTTCAGTTTTGGAAAAAATGAACAACCTGTTACAAATTAATTTTATTTTCTATGAATATGATGCTTCTCTGGTGTATGTTTTTACTGTTACAATTACATACAATTTACGCAATTTGTACTACAGCTAAATAACCGTGTCATGAAATTCCACTGTAAACATAAAAAGGTTTAGTGATTGTGATGTACCCCATGAATTAAGTGACTTGAAAGTTACTTTTTCTGTTTATAGTTTTTAAATGTTAATTGATACATCTGCACCCTTTAACCAGAAATATAATCAAGTTTCCAACTTTAAAAATATATTCACATCTTCTAACATTGGGCACTTTAGGCAAACCTGTGTTCAAGGCTCTGCCAACACAAAATGAGCCACCATCCAGATGCACAAGAGTATCCCGAGGAAACCTGGTCTCCTAAGTTTCCTCCTCTTGTGACAGGAATAACCTATCCTCAGCTCAGTTCCTCACCAGCTGGTAGAAAGTCAGGTACTAACCCTGAAGGAAACTCCATAGTATGTATCCTACTAATCTATGGCATATTGCATTATATACACTGATATGCTCTGCCAGTAGAGTATTCTGTTGTGTTTTATTTAGTATTAAGTCAACAATTGGTAGGAACTGCACCAATGATTTGTAAAAATACAGCATACCTGTGTTTACTACATTACCTGGGCTAATGGAATATGGAGTACTGTTATTAAAAGGCATATGTGTTGACATAGGTGTTTTTGACAGCAAAATAGCATCAGCAAAGTGGCCATCACATGGAATACAAGAGATGTTCTGTATATCTGGCATTGATCTACGATGGTGAAAAAGGAAAACAAGAACATTTAATTACACAATATTGAGGGCCTGCCTCCTACTGTGGGACAATTCCATAAATGTACCATCTGGTACATCAAGCAAGTGGACATTATTCACACTGGAACACAGATCGGAAGTCGCAGTATCAGCACATTACTTAACCACGGTGACAGCATAGCTGAGCCTATTCCAATCCTAATACACTTTTTTCGCTAAGAAAATGCTGTTTCTTGACTAATTTTGCCCCTCCATAGCCCAAGACACTGAAGCCAATTTAGCACTCCTAGTGTCACCAAGGGATCAGCAAGGCTAACAGGAGATTGAACCTGGGATGGTCAGGGTCTATTTAAATCAATCACTGGATAAGATCAATAAATCATCAGGAGAGAAGCAGAAGTCTTTTTTAAGTAAGATTAAACTCCTTACACTTCATGTTTGTCCAGCGTTCCTTTTAGTTCTCGATGATTATAGTCTAATGCTGTGACCATTCCAATCTCTGTTGCTTGGGCAACCCTGCAAAGAAAAAGAAAAAACAAACAGTATTGTTTTAAAAATGGAATTTAACTTGAAAGACAAACTTTTTAAAACTATTTTTATTCACTGCGTTGGCTAAGCTGAAGCATTATAATCTACAATTAATATCTGTATATTTACTGAGTGGTATAATATTATGTCAGGCTTATTGATATCAAATGTCAAACACAAAATGTAACATATGCAAAATGAGTGTAATTTTTTTAACAAATTAAATGGCACAATGGGAACTGCAGAAAATGTAAAAATACAAGATCTCTGACACATTTGACTCCAGTGACTTGGGAGAAATTTCTGATAACTACTGGAGTACCAATCACTTTACAGTATATTCTGTGAAGCGCTTTGAGATGTGTTGAAGACGTGATAAGGCAAATGCAATGTTTATATTAAGGATTATTATTACCAATGAGCAAGTCACAGATTTCTTTCAGTCAAATGCACACATCAGCAATCCAGTACCATTTCAAACACAGAAAGAGGAGCTTATATTATTTCATGCATTTTTACCCGATCAAAGGTGTAAAACTGTGTTTGCTGACTCCACTCCAGTCTCTCTCAATGCTCTTTTCCACATTTACCTTATGGATCACCATTTTTCCTCCTATTGACAATCAGCAAAATAAAATATTGCAGTCAAAGAGAAAGCATTTTCTTTCTGATATAACTACACTTCCCTATTCATCTTTAAAACCTTTTAAAAGTGCAGTGTAAATTCACAGCATACTGTTTTGTGCCTCTGTATTTTATATCATATTGCATATTCACTAAAGCAGTGGCAGCAAATGCACAGCACTTAATCTTCTTGTAAAAGTCAAACTTCAAAGATTTTTAAACATTTGGAACAAATATTTATTCTCATTGCAAGATCTAAACGATCATCTTAAAATCTGAGGTCCAAACAAAGGTTATACATAGTTCTATATATATATATGTATATTCTTATATACATTTTTATTGTTTATCATAAACTGTTTACCAGTTGGGTGAACTGATAAGATAGTTTTGAGGAGACTGAGGCGTAGCAGGTGGCTACTGCTGGAGGGGTCTTAGTTCCTCCAAATCCATCAACCAGCTCAACAACTTTTCTCCAGTTTGGGCTAATGAAATGTTGTAGCCGGAGAGGGCCGCGAGCATGTAATGAGGCGTGAAGTAAAGCGAGTGTAGCAGTCAATTCAGAGTTGAGTGAACACGAGTTGGCTTCAATGCTGAGGCACACAGAGACTCACGCACTCTGCAGTCTTCAGCACCAGGATGTACGAGAAGAACACGTTTTCTTACAATACTTACGTTCTATATTGTGTGTAGTTTGTTACTGGGAGCACAGCTGTGCATGTATCTTTTATTCACAAATATATATATAGCCTTTCATGTCGGGCGGATATACCAAGGCGCTGGACAGACAGTTTTGGATACAAGCTGGGGGTCAGGATCGGGGAGGGGGAGGGCAGGGGGGAAGCAGGAAGATTGAAAGCAGTCGAAGAGCAGGGTCTTCGGATGGGTCTTGAAGGAGGTAACGGATGGGGGGGGTGGGGGTGAGGCAGAGGCACTGCAGGATGGAGTTCCAGAGGGTGGGGGCAGTGGCAGCAGGCTCGCCTGCCAATAGTGGGGCGAACAAGGCAGGGGACGTGAAGCCGGAGCCCGCTGAGTGGAGAGAGTGAGCAGGATGGTAGGGGGTTAGGTCGCAGAGGTAGGGCAAGGAGCAAGACCATGGAGGGCTTTGGCGGTGAGGACCAGGATCTTGAACTGTATTCTTTGTGTGATGGGAAGCCAGTGGAGTCGGGCGAGGATGGGGGTGATAGGCTCACAGAGTCTGGTGCGGAGAAGATACAGGCTGCAGAGTTCTGGATGATCTGCAGCCTATGGAGGGAGGAGTTGTGGAGGCCGACAAGCAAGGAGTTTGCATAGTCAAGCCTCAATGTAACTGAAGCATGAATGAGGGTTTCAGCGGCCTGTGGAGTGAGTCAGTGGCGGAGCTGGGCGATGTTGTGGAGGTGGGGGAAGGCAGAGAGGGTCATGGCACAGATGTGGGGTACAAAGGATAGTTGAGGGTCAAAGAAAACCCCAAGGTTCCAGACTGGCTTAGTAAGGTGGAGTGTGCAACCATGGATGGTGATGCTGTCAGCGCCAGAGGTGAGAAGGCACTGACGGGAGCCAATCAAGAGAGCCTCGGTCTTGTTGACGTTCAACTGAAGAAAGTTAGCTCTCATCCTGGACTTGATGTCTGACAGACATTCTGTCAGGACAGCTGTGGTCTGGAGTCAAGGGTGGCGCAGAGAGGTACAGTTGGGTGTCATCCGCATACATGTGGAAGTTGATCCCATGTCTGCAGAGGATGTCACCAAGAAGGAGCATAAAGATACTGAAGAGGAGGGACCAAGGACAAAGCCCTAAGGAACACCACACGAGATGGTGCAGGGGCTAGAGGAGAAGCTGTTTATGGAGATGAAGTGGAGGCGGTGTGAGAGGTACGATCTGAACCAGTCAAGGTCAGAGCTGTGAAGGTTGAGGGAGAGGAGAGGCGGTGGTTGAAGATAGAGTGGTCGACGGTGTCGAAGGCAGCAAGGAGGTCAAGGAGAATGAGGAGGCAGAGGGAACCCTGGTCATAGATGGACCGAATGTCATTTGTAACTTTGACCAGGGCTGTTTCTGTGCTGTGGGCGACACAGAAACCTGATTGCAGGGGTTCGTGGAGGGAGTCCCGGGAGAGGAAGGAGCAAAGCTGGGAAGCAACAACTTGTTCCAGGACCTTGGAGAGGAAAGGAAGGTTGGAGATGGGGCGCTAATTTGAGAGTAGAGATGGGTCCAGGGCGGGTTTTTTTAAGGAGTGATGATGGCCGTTTTTAATGGGGTGGGAACAGTACCAGTGGACGTGAAAAGGTTTATGATATCTGTGAGTAGAGAGGCAAGGAGGTGGAGCTGGGAAGTAAACAGAGCGGTAGGGATGGGGTTGAGGGAGCAGGTGATCAGTTTCATGCAGGTTATAGTGGTGGTAAGAGAGGAGTGGGAGACAGGTTCAAAGGTTGGAGGGATGGGTAGGGGCCGGGTTGAGAAGGGGAGATGGGGAGGGTGTAGCAGACGGAATGGCAGAGGCAGCTGCGCAGATCCCCTCGAATTTGGATTCGAGGAAGTCCAGCATTGCTTCCAGTTGGCACTTAAGGTGAGTGGGTGGGCGGAGGAGCCGGTTGGTGATGGAGAAGAGGACGGTACGATTTGATAAGGTCCAGCCAGATCTGCCAATGGACCGTTAAGTTTGATTTAAGCTAGGTGCGTTCAGCAGCATGTAGCTGTGCTTTGAGGGAACGGAGGTTGCTGGTGTATCATGGTAACTCACTTGAATAAGAGACGGTTCGGGAAGAGAGGGGAGCAAGGGAATCGAGAATGGAGGAGAGCGAGCTGTGGAGAAGAGTGACCGAGGAGAATAGGTAATTGTGGGAGGAAGCCCAGAGGGGAAGGAATTCAGATGACTCCAAGGCAGCCAAGGGTTGGGGGGGGGAAAGGGGAAGATTTTTTTCCTGTAGGTTAGTAGTTAGAGCCCTCGCCTCGCAAGCGAGTGGACCTGGGTTCGATTCCCAGGCAGGTCAAAACGTTGGACAAGTTTCCTTACTCCACACACACGCTTCTGCTTACTTAGCAGTAAGTAGGAACCCAGTTGTTAGTCGACTGGCGGATCGCTTTTCCTGGGATAGAAATCACTTCAAAATAAACAAATAATAATGATTTGATCACTCAATCCATGACTGTTTGTGCAACCAATTGCTGTGCGCAATTGGCTGCCGCATTTCTTCCACAAAATATAGTCAATTCACTTTACAGTATATTTTGTGAAGCACTTTGAGACATCTTGAAGACCCGATAAGGCACTACATCAAATGCAAGTATTATTATTATTTTATTACTTGCTCTCTTTCTGACATCTGTACTTACCAACAGCATCAGAATCTGAACTGAAGGAATGTTTCGTGGAATCTAAATTTTGCTGGCAAACCTCTCTGGTAATTTCTAACTCCTCTTCAGAACTTGTAGTGGACTACAAAACAATGTGTTAAAAAGCTGGTATAATTTCCAAATTTAAACCTAACTTTAACATTAATAAATTATAAGATGCAATAAGTTCCTATAATCCTTTCAGTGTTCAGTGTAGATGATGAGAACTCCTGACACAGAAACATATTTCTCTAATGTTACATATTGAGTTTATTCATCTCTATTCAATAATTGGAGAGTTAATTCTATTTTTACCTCTTGGGCATACTGAATATTGCTGAAGCCTGTACTTGCCAAATTCCTAGAGCTGAATGAGACAAATTGAAGATTGGGAGTGAAAAATTCATCGGACACATCAAGTGATGATTCAAATGCAAAATCTGACGTAGAAAACTGTTCCAGATTCTCCTGAAAATAAAAAAAAATTAGAGTGTCACCAATTCACACAAAATCTGAGGAGTATAAGAAGATAAGAATGAAAAAAGACTCACTTAGGTCAATTTGCTTTGGATCTATGTTAAGAATCCGAGATATTTCAGTACAGAAAGAGGCCATTTTGCCCAACATGCATGTGCTGTGCTGCCAGTTGTAATTATGCTGTCCTTCAAGGCTGTTCTATTTAGAATTCTAAGTACTGTCTATAAGATTTACTAAAGTGCTAAGAGTGGAAGCCTTCTTTATTCTTGTGATCACAGTACTATCACCTCCTTGCAATGAACCAGCAACAATTCCCAACAGCAGAAGCTTTACCCTCTGTAAACTCCAATCTTGAAACTGATCCCTAGTTGTTTTTCAGTCCATGCACAGAGAAAACAATAACCCCACACTTGAAAAGAAATGTCTCAGAAGGTGCCTTGTGTACAGTCTTGTATATAAGATACACAAACGGACAAAAAAAACTAAACTAAAATATTTTCAGATGTATCACATCAGCAGAATAAGAGCATACAGATTCAGACTTGCAAATGGCCAAGTTTAGAATAAACACTAGGAAGCTTTTTTAAGTCAGAGAGTGGTCAAGAGCTGGAATAGCTTCCCAGGCAAGCTGACTGATACTAGCTTTATTTCCTTAGGCTGGAAAGGGACAAAATAAATTGGGGTCCCGAATCCTGATGAATATACAGTGTCTGTGAAAGTGTTTTAAAAGTGTTTGTGAAAGAATATACTATTTGTGAAAGTGCTTGTGTGTGGATGTCGGGTGAGGACAAGATCCCCAGTCACAAAGCCTATCAGGCTCACCACAAGATACCCTCACTTGGGTGAGGTACCATCATTTCCTCCTGCGCCTTTCTAAAATGATATACCTTATAACTTTTCCTTTGTCCTCTATTTGTGATAAATGTCTCATCCAAGTCGGTTCTCTCCTCCAATTCTTCTTTGCTGCTTTCTGACAGCTTTTCATCTGCAGATTCTCTCTGTCCTGAGAAACATCGGCACACAACTCAAATGGAAAATCATGAAGTATGATGAACCCAAACATAATGTCGCTCGCCCAAGTAATATTTTCTTTTAGCAGAATCAATAGAATCCAATGATGGTAATCTCAGCAAATAAAATGGGAATATTTCTGCCATGTGGTATATTTTCAAAAATGAAAATACTGTCATTTTAAAAATACTGGCCAGTACCAACGAAAATTAAAAAAGGATAGAGTGGAATCCGGTTAAGCCAGACACATTGGGGCCGGACATTTTCTCCGATTTAAGAGATGTCCGTGGTTGGCCAAAATACTATTCCCGTGCAGCAGAGGAGCTGCGGTGGTGCTGTATAATAATATGTAATGTTTCACTTGCAGTTAAAATCCTGTATAGAATTCAGTAAAAGATAGTTACCTTTTGTTTAGCTGCAAAATACCAGCAGAGAAGCTTCCTCTCTCCTATTGCTACTGGATGGGAACTGGACCAACAAGCAGCTCAGCTGTCAATCAATCGCAATTCGTCTCCCTTGTTCTTCCCTGTTTCTCCGCCCCCCCCCCTCACTGATTGACAGCCCAACTCCAGCCGCTTGGGAATGGCTGGAGTCCTCTGTCAATCAATCTTAGACTCCTCCCATCTCCATCTCAGAGCCACTCGTGGCTGAATGGACACACGAAGGCCCGAGTGAGCGCATTCAGAGCGACAATTTGACCGGAGTAACCGGATTTTCATCTGCATTAGCTGCATATTTAAAACAGGTAAGAATACAAATGAATCGGGGCCAGGCGATTTGTTCGATTTACCCAACCGTCCAGCAAAAGCAAATTCTGCTGTCGTTTGTTCGGGGAATAACCTCTCCAATAATTTAAACACAAACAAACTATACAATATTTTAGGAGTGGAGCAAGGGAAGAAAATGGCAAAAAAAACGCAGATAGGAGCCAATTGCCTTTATAATTTGCAGAGCATTAAAATAATAAAGCTTAATTTCAATTGTACAAAATAATTCAGATGCCTCCCACTATCAGCCTCATTTAGTGCCTTTGATGACGGCACTACGCCTTGCGTATTTGTACCTTAACTGTGTGTGTCAATGTCAAAGACATCAGGAAGGGAAAAAAAGTGCTGAAGTTACTCAGGCCTCAGCTTTCTTTTAAAAAAAGCTACTAATGGCAAAACTCCCTCTTTATATGTGAAGACCAAAGATCTGACCTGCAAAACTTCGAAAAATTTCCTCTAGATCTCCACTACTATCACTCTCCATCGGCATCTCTTCTCGGACATTGTTGAGTGGATCATGTTCCGTTAGTTTAGAATCCAATTGATGTTTCTCTACTTTTTTGCTTATCCCACAATATCTATTGTAGTCCTTCAGCTCCCTGTTTTCCTGGGATCTATTTGCAAAACGACGGAAGAGCTCCTCTTCATTTTCATTCTGTGAGTTTTTACGGCCCTTTTCCTTTGGTTGCTCTTGTGAAACTGGCAGATATCCCGATGTCATTCTTTCAACCACTTCTGCCACTTCATCTATTAAAATAAAATCAGACAATTATTAAACAGTCTGACATATTTCCATATTGTAATTCTATGTGAGATAATTCAGTTCCTAATAAAAATAGTTATGGTATTTCTAATAGAATGACAGAGAAGAAAGCTATAACGTACTATTATTAACTGGGCCAAAAATGGTATAATAATAATCCTTGCATTTGATATAGCACCTTATCACATCTTCGAGAAGTCCCAAAGCGCTTCACAGAATAAGTAGAATAAATAAACAGAATAAGTTATACGTAGAATCCTGCCTCTAGTAATGTTATCACAGCAGCCCAACAAAACAACTTAGGCCATGCTAATGAAAGACAGTTAGATAAAATATTTGGATGGGAAAAGGATTGGGGGTTTGTAAGTAAAAGTACAAACAGAGATGGAACATGGTGCTACCTGAAGTATTGAAATTATAAAAATGTAATACATACATAATATTATGGCATGCCTTCATCCTGTAATACTTTCACTTCCAAGTACTTGTAGAAAAATACATTATCATCTTTATATTAGGTCAAGTGGGTCATTTCTGACTCTTAAGTAGTTTCATATATATTATTATATTGCATCTTACCACAGGTGGAAAATTAACATGCAAAGAAAAAGTGGATTCTAAAAGTGAGTTGCTTATTGTGCCGCAGGCACCGATTTATGTTCTCTATTGCGGAGAATGTTGGCTTCGCAAGCCAGATATGTACACTGACCTGTCCAGTTGGATTTCCCTGTTCTCTGATCAACTTTTATTTTTTGTTTTTTTTTATAATGTTGATGCTGTGTTTTTCCTGAACTTGAGAAATTGTAAGTCTCTTTCTTTCGTCTCACTTTCACTCTCTCTGGTACAGTGCTGTCCAAATTAAATCAAATATATTTAAAATGTGAAATAACAAACACATAGTAGGTCCACTACAATTTAAAATCTTTATAAGGGCCCATTTGCAGGAAACATGATCTTATCAACCAAGAAGATACTTGTGCAAGGAACTCAAAACAAAGATAATTCAGTAAATCCCATTATTTTAATAATAGGATCTAAATATGTAATATATAAATAATATAATATGTAATAAAAAAATATTAATAAAAAAATTATTAATAATTAATAATAACATCATGGATTGTATGCAAATTATGGAGCAAGTACAGTATAAACATGACTTTACACAGACATCTTTACAAAATGTCACTGGGTAACAGCAACTTTACATAACGCCGATCACGTAGGTTGGTGTCTTGGAGCCCTTGAAGGGTAAGACATGGATGAACTTATTCTGAACGGCTAAGATTTACTCAATGACTGATTGCTGGAAGTGTAAGCCTTCTGTTGTAGTGGATCAGCCATACAGGACGTTTGGGAGGGCCCACCATGGGCAACTCTTGCTGTCTGAGTTTGGGTCCAGGGTTGAGAGAAAAGAGAGATTCTGGATTCATGAGAGCTTTTTTAATGCCTTGTCTCCACACCTACTACCTGAACTGTCTCTGTCCCTGATTGATCAGAAACCTGATCTGTCTCAGTCTGATTGACCCTCAGGGTTACAGGTAAGCCCTGCTTCTTGCTTTGGTTGACTCCTAGCAGACAGTGGTAGACGATTGGCCCTTCCATCTGTCCTTGCACACAGTCTTGCAAACCAGCTGGATCAGCAGGGATCTAGGGTGAGGGAAACATCCGGCAGGAGTGTTACAATATCATTAAGTATAATGGTACCTTTGAGTTGTGCGTATTTCTCCATTGCCTGACAGGTAAATACACTGCTTTCTATATCTTCGCTGGCTGACCTCTGTTGGGATTCTCATAGATATACAACCTTTGTGAGCCTGGGCAACAAAGAAAATGTATTTAAAATATTATATCCATCACTTATAAAAATATAAAATAATATGCTATCTATCAGTTTTGGAGATCTTAGTAATGAGCGTTTGCTCATGTTTAACCAAAAAAAATTTAATTTGATATAAAGAAGTCTTTTGTGAGTCAAAATATGAAAAGGTCAAGTCTTCCTTTAAAAAAAGAGAAACTTTATTTCAATTAAACTAATTTAAACATGGAAAAAAGTGCCACCAAACTTTCAGGTCACTCGGTGATTGCAGATTCAAACCCAGTATATTCAGTCAAACTCAAATTTACCAACCAGTTTTTATATTTTTCCATAACCCCTATTCTAACTATGCATATCATTGAGCTGAGCAAGTAGGAAGCCAAACTTGTTGCAGACACTCCTTCAAAAGGTTGTTCTGAGTCAATTGAGATATACGTAGTAAAGGCCTAACATGACTCTCCAATTTTCCCTCTTCTCTGTGGAAAGGTACTTGGCCTTCAGCTAGTGCCAATTATAGCAGCAGGCTCAGTTTTTGCACTCATATAGTGCAGAGGAATAAAATCCTGATCCCACCAAAATGTGGGTACCGTAGCTTAGTGTTCTAACAGGCTGAGTTTCAAAAGATGTGAGTCTACTCTTCAATGTAAAAGTTATTCAGTCTTTAAGTAAAAATGGATGACCACCTGACCAGACTGTGCACCCTGATATTATATTTGTTTCTTTGAACTTTTTACTGCTATTTCAGTTTTGCTGTTTTTCCTATTCCTCAACAGACTGTCTTAGTTTAGGAAATATTTGGGATTACACCCGAGTTCCCCATTTCACGGCATCACATAATAATAATAACAATAATAATCCTTGCATTTGATATAGCGCCTTATCACGTCTTCGAGACGTCTCAAAGCGCTTCACAGGATATAATGAAAAATAAATTGACTATATATATTGTGGGTGAAATGGTGCTCCAACATTTCTGTGGCATTGTTCTGCTACCGGCTGTGTTTTTGATAATTTTTATGAGTTCCATTGAATGAATGCTGTCCACCATACCAAAGAAAAAATGATAAGGACTCATGTGCCTCTCACACTTTTTGGCTGAAGAGGTTTTGTTTTTGAAGGGATTATGTAGCCAATTCTCCCAACTCTGTGATAGGAAAGCAGGATCATGAATGGAGTTTGATGGGTAGAAAGACATAAGGAAGTAAGATAAAAAGTAAAAATCTAGTATATACAAAATGGTAAATAAAATATAAATAATCCCAAAATAATACTGCTCTGCTTATCACACGTTAGGTGATTGTACACTTACAGGTATGACCTCTGCATTCTGATCATGTATTATACATCTGTTACGGTCCTTCCTACCCTTGGAGACTTTTGCAACCTTTTGCTCTGACAAAGACATGAAACTTTCATCAAGAGTAGAGCTGTGCATAAAACTTTCATCAAGAGCAGAGCTGTAATCACTCTCTTCTTCATTAATTTGGTTCTTAAGTGAGCAAGTAGTTTGTGTCCCATCGGCAAACGTGTCCGATGTTCTCAAAACCTCAGAGTTGGTGCTGTCTTTCCCTGTTGATGCATGCTGACTTTGTGTCCAATTTGGAAGATTTGCTGCTGCTTTGCGACATCTCCCAGACACATTTCTCTTCTCCGCTCTGTACACAGGTGGCCGATAGCGTTTTGGTGGAGCTATGGATATGGGGATCACAAGATTACCTTCGTTATCTGAGTCAAACTTTTTATTCCCCTTTTCATTTTTTTTATGATAGTCCACTTCATCATAGCTTGGTTTATTGCAAGGAACCTTTTCCAATGGCTGAAAATCACTCATTTTATCAATTTCCACAGACTTCTGTGATGAATTAACCCCAGGGTCACATCGTCTTTTTACATGATCAAGTGCACTACACGCTTGCTGTACCAGGTTCTTTGATGCCTGAATGTTGATTGAGCAGGTTCTGACTGAATGCTGAATTGATACATTGGCAGCAATTTCTCTCTCTTCTTCACATGCTCTGTTCAGTGAATTGGAAGAGCTTTGGCCATACCTGTCTTGATCACTTCTTGAATCTTTTACTACTGTCCATTTTGAGCATCTGTTTGGAGTCGGATCATTCTGTTTGTCTTCCTCTTCTGTTGCATATTCGGTGTCTGTTTCCAACCATGCACTGCTATGTCCATCAGTGTCCTCCACTGCGGAATACCGTGTGTCACTGTACTGTAACTGTTCTGCCTCTAAACCATCACCTGCCCTCTGTCTTTCAGAAGTAACCACAATTTCTTTCTCTAATACAACGTCCAGTTCATTTAAGTGTTGGAGAATATCTGCTTGTTCTATGCCATATTTTATGGGGTTGGTTTCAGCTAACTCAGGTATATTGTGTTGCTCAGGTTTGTTCCATGAACTGTAGCCACTGCTAAGTTTATCTTTATGAAAAACTTTTTCGGGTGCCCTGGAAGCAATCCCATCATCAGTAATCTGTTCTGTTTTCCAAGAATTACACAGCACTATAATCTCCTGTGATATTTTACTGTCGGCCTCAACATTTGTTTGGCTTTGTTGCTTAGGACTAAAGCTTGTGCGGCGACCCATGTTGTAATACTGATAGTCTGAAAAATAAACAAGATATAAACATTTTCCTTATTTCAAACTGCAGTTTCTTTTGGGGGCTGATTATAGTTTAGAATTTTAAAACAATTTAAATGTTCAACAAATAAGCAGTCTGCATCAATTTTTAAAGTAGAAACACAAATTACAAACTCATCAGAGGAAGAATTTTGTCAAGATTTCAAGCATGGTTTGAAGAACACTTAGAAGCGAAGTTTTCTGAAGTTGCTGTGTAATTAAAATAATTCTTACAATTGAAGTGCAGCATAAAAATCACTGCAGTAGGATAGTTCAGGTAAGAAACACAAAATTAGAACAATATTAAAAAATCGATAATGGGCAAATATAGAAGTTTATCCCCATTTTGACCATTAATTGTAGGAAGTGTCGTGTACAATTAATTCAGTTTATGTATGGACTTTTCAAACCCATGGATGAAACAGCTGTAGTCCATTTACTTTCTCAACAGTGAATTTAAACATGTGAAAAAAATCTATGAAACATTTCAATGTTTTTCAAAAATATCTAAACAACAAATAACACAATTGTCTGCACAACTGTATCAAAGTCACAGGTGACTTCTATTTCAAGATCATTTTAGCAGCCATAATTTTCTGCAGTTTCCCCTCACCAGCACCCCAAATTCCCATGTTAACAGGGGATATTCTGCAGTTATTATTTACCATTATGAAAGTATTGTTATAAATTAATATGTGTAGACTGAAGAAAGGCTGCAAACATTTAAATTTAAAATGAAAGTCTGATACAGAGGATAAAAAGAACCCCTACACATTCTTGTATAGTGGTAAGAAAAATTCAATCATCCTATACATTACAAAATGTTTCATACCATCATTATACATGATTTGGCCTTGTTCCAAATACTCAGTCTCTCTCCTGCTGACAGTATTCTCCATTTCAAGTTGTTCCAAGTATTCAGGCTGCCTCCTGTAGCTAGAAATATCTGTGCTAGCCCCAACAGGTATGTTAACACATTCGCTCTGTATATCACTATCAACGTTCTCAAAAGCATGTTTCTGATTGATAATCAGGTCCTGGGATGAATGAGAGAAAACTTAAAAGATATTGTGCAATTAATTTAATTCACACATCCATTTTCTATATTGCAGCAATATATCCAAGCTAATCTATATTAATCTCTTGTGACAATATTCATTGATAAACCACAGATTTTAATGTAAAAATAAAGTTCCTATTCTACAAGGACATTTAACAAAAACCTTCTAAACTCCACCAATGGCTCAGTGGGTTAATGCACGGTTTGGTACCGCACCATACAGATCATGTATGATCCAAGGTTCAAAGCCTAGCCTGTACTGCAGTGGGGTGCTGGAATTAACTTCAGTAGCTAAAATGTGAGGAGTAAAAACAGTGAAGATTCCAACTCTTGATTTTTATGAAATAAGAAAATTCTGGTTCAATGTTATCATTAAAGTGTTTGTGAGCTTTTCCCTGTAGTCATTGCTAAGTAGGCACCTTGATGTCGTTTCGCAGAATAAACCGGATATCTTGAAGACACATAGTCCGATTCCGAGGTTTAACTTGCATCCCAGTTCGGACAATATCATAGTATGGCGCAGGTACTCGTTCATCTACACTTAAACAATGTCCAGCTCCCAATAGCTCCTTCACAGCCAGTCCATCCATATCTTCCCATGGAACAGTATCTGAAGAGTTGAGAATTGCATTAATAAGAAATCTTGAAAACTGGGCTTTTGGAATACAATGGATGAACAGGAGACTGAATATATTAGCTGACCAGGATTACCATGAATTTTAACAGTTACACACTGTTTAGGTAACATGATTCACAAAACATAATCACATCTTTACTCTATGTTGTTCATCTATGTCCCGCAAGAAGAGCACATTTCTCCAATTCTCTTAAAACAATATTGTTTTTATTTTCGTTTAATAACTTAAAATGATCATCAGAGCCGCAGGACAAAATGGAATAACAATCTCTAATTTAGCTGCGTGACATTATTAAATATTCTAGCATTATCCTTGTAGTTTATTTTGCAAGATTTATATTTATAGTATCACTATCCCTCACACCAGAACTATGGACTACACCTGTAAAGAGTTCCTGAATCAAGGTGCAGAGGCTGTAGATGTCTGACTTGACCGAGGAGAATTTTCCACGAATTACCTCAGGTGCCAACCAATTGTAAAACTGTGGAGGAACAGGAAACCGGGAGAGATCGCTGTATATTCCTCCATCGACGCTGCAGAAGTAACGAAAAACTACAATTATATTGAAGCATTTTCAAAATAATATTATCATGTTTCAGGGCTGTTTGGGAATTTATATTTTCTATGTTGGTTAAAAATGTTTTCTTTTGTGACTCATTTTAAAAAAAATTATTCTGTCTTCTCACTGTAGGGCAAAGATATCTTTCTCAGGCCTCTGATGAGATCAATGTCTAAATAGACATGAGGAAGGATGTGAGAAACAACTAATAGAATGACTCAATTTCCCTCCCTCTGCTCCCTGCTGCAGCTTTAACAAAATGCTACTTGTTGATGCATTAAGCTATGTATTTAACACAATTTAACCAATCAGTATATATGAGGTCTGTAAATGTTTTTTTTCTTTATTGACAAATACTACTCTTATTTCTGTTTCAGTAAATAGATTGAGGTTGTCCAACATCTTGCCTTGGACCACACAGTACCACACAGTATATCATATTCCTAACAAAATCCCTCCTGAGCTACTGAGCTATATTTGATGGCAGGTAGTGGAGTACTGTAGCTTAGTGGTTAGAGCACTCGCCTTGCAAGCGAGAGGACCTGGGGGTTCGATTACCGGGTGGATCGCTTTTCCAGGGGTAATAATCCCTTAAAATATTAAAAATGTGATCAATAAATCCATGACTGTTCGTGGGACACTGCTGTGCACAAGTGGCTGCCGCATTTCTCCCACGAAATACACAAGTCAATTCACTTCACAGTATATCATGTGAAGCGCTTTGAGACGTCTCGAAGACATGATAAGGCGTTATATCAAATGCAAGGATTATTACATTATAATATTATATGACATTACTGTACATGACAAACTAGTACCTTTCGACCATGAATTCAAAGTTGCTTAATTTGGCAATGCCAGGTAATACGAGCTGTACAGCATGAGAGGTGATAGCTCGATGGATGTATCCACGTGAGTGAAGATAAATGAGAACATCAGTAATCTGCAACAGCATCTGTACAATCACTTCCACGCGCAGCACTGGGAACTCTGAGCGCTGAAAGACACAAACTGAAATGAATGACAACATCCTTTTTGTATTTTCAAATCTAAATGTATTTAATGAATCGAATTTAATGAATCAGTTATTTTATGAACCCCTAATAATGAGTTAGGAGGACAACTGGTAAGTTATACAGATCTTTGTAAATACTAATTGTGGTAACAAAGTGCAATAATTTCCAGTTTTTATAACAGAACATCAACAACTTGCAGTGGCAGGGTTGGATGCTGAGCAAAAAAGGAAAGTGAGGGGACTATAGATGGAGTCGAAAAGGTGGGTCTTAAACTGCGATCTAAAGATACATGGGAGGCAGATGGGGAAATAGGATCAGGCAGTTCCAGAAGCAATGACGGAAGGCTTGGCCATCGCTGGTAGCAGAAGATCAACGTGGTTAGTGCACAAGACTACATTTTCTCTTTTATTAAATGTAGTGCTCTATAAAATGTACTCACTTCAGTAATTCCTGCATTCCAAACATAATACCTTTAAACATTTAGTCTTAACTAAAAGATGCAAGTAGTGTAATAAAAACACTTCAGATGAAGAATTAACTTACCCTCTCATGCAGAACACCATAAAGGGAACCAAGATTAATCCTCTCGTACACTAGACGGATCTGATCCAGATCAGACGACTGACACACAGCCATCAGCAGCAAAAGATTTGGGTGCCGAAGCTTACTAAAGTCAGAACAGAATGTTTGTAAAAAATAATGTTGCATTGATCAAGATTCTAAACATATATAGCTGTAGTGATTACTCAATGGAGTCCTGCAGCTTAGGGGTTAGAGCAAGCAAGAGGTCCTGGGTTCTATTCCTGGGCAGGTTGAAAGACTGGGCAAGTTTACTTACTCCACACCCTCAGTTTATCTAGCAGTAAGTAGGAACCCAGTTGTTAGTCGATTGGGGATAATAATCCCTTAAAAAAAAACAATAATTTGGTCACTCAGTCCATGACTGTTTGTGGGACACTGCTGTGCTCAACTGGCTGCCACATTTTGCCCACAAAATATACAGTCAATTCACTTTGCGGTGCATTCTGTGAAGCTCTATGAGACCCTTTGATACCAGGACTTAGAGAGTTGAATTACGAGGACAGGTTGCATAAATTTGAGGTATAGATCAGCCATGACCTGGGCCAATAGTGGTAAATTACATGGTAAATCAGAGAGAGACACATACACTCACAGACACAAAGACAGAAAGACACATTCTCAGAGACACATTCTCAGAGAAAGACAAACACACGCACTCATAGTCACAAATAAACAAACACAAAGACAGACATATACTCACACAGAGACACTGATAAACACACACACATATAGAAGACATAGACACACTCACATAGACACACACACACAAACAATCACAACAGCAGGGCCTCCGAGTGCAGCTTATTTACCTATTGCGCCGCACTGCGCATCTTCACACCTAACTCTAATTACCTGCCCTATCCCCATATCCCCTAATCCCTCTTTTTTTAAAAAATCTATCAGTCTCAGCCTTGAAGATGTTCAAGGACTGAATATCTACAGCTTTCTGGGGTAGAGAATTCCATAAATTCATTACCCTCTGAGTGAAGAAATGTTTCCTCAACTATGTTCTAAAAGGCTGACCCTTAATTTTAAGACTGTGACCCCCGGTTATAGATTCTCCTACCGGGGAAACAGACCCTCAGTGTCTACTTTATCACCCCTTTAAGAATCTTATATGTTTCAATAAGATCTCCCCTAATTCTTCTGTGACTCTAGAGAATATACCCCAAGTTTATTCAGCCTATCCTCATAGGTCAGTCCCCTCATCCCAGGAACTAACCGAGTGAATCTACGCTGCACCCCCTCGAGGGCAAGTATGTCCTTTTTTAAATAAGGAGACCAAAACTGCACACAATACTCCAGGTGCGGTCTCACCAAAGCCCTATACAGTTGCAGCGAGACTTCCCTATTCTTGTACTCTAAACCTTTTGCGATGAACGCTAACTGCCGTTCGTCTTCTTAGTTGCTGCTACACCTGCAAACTAACTTTTTTGAGACTGGTGTACAAGTCTCTTCACAAGTAACTTCACACTTCCCCACATTAAATTCCATCTGCCACCTACTCGCCCACTCCCCGAGCCTATCTATATCCCGTTGCAATCTTTTTGCATCATCCTCAGAGCTTACTCTCCCACCTACAAGTGTCATCCACGAATTTAGATACGTTACATTCAATGTCCTCGTCTAGGTCATTGATGTAAATTGTAAATAGCTGAGGCCCAGCACTGATCCTTGTGGCACTCCACTAGTCACCTCCTGCTAATTCGAGAATGACTTGTTAATCCCTACTCTCTGTTTTCTACCCGTTAGCCACTCTTCAATCCATGCTAATGTGTTCCCATTAATCCCGTGGGCCTTAACCTTGTGCAATAGCCTTTTGTGTGGCACTTTGTCAAATGCCTTTTTAAAATCTAAATATACTACATCTACTGGTTCCCCCCTATCTAACCTGCAGATACATCTTCAAAAAACTCTAAAAGATTAGTTAAGCATGACTTCCCTTTTGTAAAGCCATGTTGACTCTGCCTAATCTTGTTATGGTCTTCCAGGAATCCCATAACGACATCTTTAATTAAGGACTCAAGAATTTTCCCTCCCACTGATGTCAGACTAACTGGTCTATAGTTCCCCATCTTTTCTCTCCCACCCTTCTTAAATAGTGGTGTTACGTTTGCAATCTTCCAATCAATGGGAACCGTTCCAGAATCCAGAGAATTTTGGAAGATCAAAGACAAGCCATCCACTATCTCAGTAGTCACCTCTTTTAAAACTCTAGGATGTAGACCATCAGGTCCAGGAGATTTATCAGTTTTAAGACCTGATAATTTACCTAAAACCATTTCTTTACTAATATTAATTCCTCCAGTTGCTCGCTAACATTGTTTTCTTGGTTCCCTTCTATTCTAGGTTTTCAGTGTCTTCTAAGGTGAAGACAGTAGCAAAGTACTTGTTTAATGACTCTGCCATGTCTTTGTCCCCTATTATAATTCCCCCTGTCTCTGCCTGTAGCGGACCCACATTTACCTTTGACAGCCTCTTCCTCTTTATATATTTATAAAAACTCTTGCAGTCTGTCTTTATGTTCTTCGCTAGTTTGCCCTCATATTCCATTTTCTCCCTCTTAATCACTTTTTTGGTTCTCCTTTGTTGATCCCTAAAGTTCTCCCAATCCTCGGGTTTACTACTCATCTGAGCTGTTTTATAGGCTTCTTCCTTTAACTTTATACTTTCCCTAACTGCTCTAATTAGCCACAGTTAGGCCACCTTTCCCGTGGCATTCTTATTCCTCAAAGGAATACGTGCTCGCTGGGAATTTTCACGCAGCAAGTTGTTCGAATCTGGAACGCATTGCCTGAAAGGGTAGTCGAGGCCGATTCGATAACTACTTTTAAAAACCCGGTGGACGGGTATTTGAGGAGGACGGGTTTGCAGGGTTATGGGGAAAGGGCTGGGAAGTGGGATTATATATATATATAATAATAATCCTTGCATTTGATATAGCGCTTTTCACGTCGGGAGGACGTCCCAAAGCGCTTCACAGAACACACTGTAAAGTGAATTGACTGTATATTTGTGGGCGAACGCGGCAGCCAATTGCGCACAGCAATGTCCCACAAACAGTCGTGGATTGAAAATGACCAATTTATTATTGTTTTTTGTTTTGGAGGGATTATTATTAGACGTGTGGAGTAAGGAAACTTGCCCAAGGTTTCGCCCTCTGCCTGGAATTGAACTCAGGTTTCTAGCTTGCAAAGCGAGTGCTCAACCACTGAGCTACAGGACTCCAATTGACATTAATTGCTCAAAGAGCCGGCACAGACTCGATGGGCCGAATGGCCTCTTTTTCTGCTGTACAATTCCATGATTATTTCTCAAAAAAATTGCAATAGGATCACAATTAATAACCATCAAGAATATGGAGCAGATGTCTTTGTACACAATGTCCTTATTGCGCTGGAGTAGTAAAGATGTTCAGTTAAGAACATTATTAGATTTACACAAATAGCATTTAAAAAACACGTGACTTAAAATACAATCATATATATTTTGCACCATTTGCCTACATTTGCTAACCTGTTGTATTCTTGCTCTGCGATCAGCAGATCAGCCGACAAGCGTTTGCTGCAGTTTTGGTGTGGTGGAAGGTTCATCTGTTTCACTGTGATACGGATTCCATTCCAAGTTAAACTAAATGGTACAAGATATAATACAAACAATCCACAACTGGTATAGTTGATTCGTAAGTAATTTACCATGAAATGCTATTTCTCAAACAATATTTTGTTTACAAATCTTATGTTTATATCTAGTCCCTGAATGTGCATTGTGCTATGTAAGGATATTTCCACTGTCATATTCCTCGGAAATTGTATCAGAAATAAATGATAATTATGCCATGTCATTGACCATAACAACAATATTATACTGCCCTTAGTACAGCGCTAACATTTTTTTAGGTCTTCAGGTCACCACTAGTATCACTTCCAGCAAACATGGAACACAGCCACCTCTTACCTATTGGACACAGAGGACTGAGTTATAATGAGGTTCCCTTGTATTATAGTGCCCTGGCCTACTGTGTCAGACATAAAATACAATCAAAAATGATTATTCTGACGGAAAATAAACAAAAGGATGTTAAAGTTATTCATATAAACAGACAGGCAGGCAGGCAGACAGACAGATAATAATAATTTGGTCACTCAATCCACAACTGTTTGTGGGATACTGCTGAACGTAATTGGCTGCTGCATTTTGCCCACATTATACAGTCAATTCACTTTACAGTTTATTCTGTGAAGCGCTTTGAGAAGTCTCAATGATGTGATAAGGTGCTATATCAAATGCAAAGATTCTTATTATTATTCATAATTCTTTGCAACAGTTTTGGAAGAGGTGGAAACACTGACTCTTTGTAATTTTAATTTACAAAATACAGAATTGTATGTTGATTTTTCTGAATTTTATTTTACTTCAATCTACTTTATATAGAAATATAAAAGAAAACTATGTCTTTAAACACTTACTTAGACATAGTTGTGTACGGTCCATTTGGATAGGAAAAAGTTGGTTCATCATCTGCCTGCACTAATTCCTTCTCATTGACAACGGGGATGGAGGCAAGGTAAGCCAAACGTCCTGGTCCATGCATATAAAACTAACAAATCAAGAGAAAGAAAAGCAACACTTTCCAATAGGAATGAAACAACCACCTCCAAACATGCTGAGCTCATATTAGTGTCTAATATGTGTATTTCCTAAATAATTAATCTAATCCTCTTCCACACACACGTTACTTTTTCCAATTTTCTCACTGACAGTCCTTTTATCTTACCTTCCCAAATCCAAAACACCGAATACTCTCTGAAAACATACTTCTGGCTTTAGGCATGCTGAGAAGTTGCAGATCTTTGTTTCTTAAAAACAGGAATAAGGTGATGCTTATAATATGTATGTGTAACTACACAGTAAATATAAGGGGGAATTTATATTAATATAAGGTGGTATTCTGTATCTTCCAGAAATAAAAGTAAACATTTTAATTCTTAAATAACAGAATAAAATTTACGATTTCTCAAGCTGTTCCTTGTATGAATTAGCAGAATGAATGCTGTTACTCTGTTCCTTAATTAATACTCATAGTAAAAATGTATCCCACTCATTTCTGTACTGCATGTGTTGCTCCCGAACTTTGATCTCAATCCACTGCTCTGAATGATCTACTGAAATCCCAGTTAAATAAAATATGGGATATTGACTTAAAATTAATTAATTTCCTAAAGCAGGCAACTGAAACATTGGTAGGCACCATTTCCAAGTTAGGGACAACCACATCTATCTGCAATGCTAGGCAATCATCTTTGCACAAGATCAATTTCCATAAGCAAGTGCAATTAAAGTCATCCTTTATCGTATCCAAAAGGCTGAGAAGTGATCTATTGCTTTTTTTATTTCAAAATATATATTGATGGAGATGTAAAAAAAAATATTTATATGTGCATGGAAAATTTTTCCCGTCACAAAATAATACACAATATTCTTCAAATAATGTATAATGTATAATCCGCCTCCTTGTGGCAGCAGGACACTCCTGCACATAGGTGGAAATATGAAGGCTCCCCGTTTGGGAGCCCATCTATTGCTTTTTATATAAACATTTTAAAGCTCTCACCCATAAGCAATTTTGTTCAGTATAGAAGGGTTCCGAATCAGTGTTTGCGATGAACTGCCAATTCGCTGTGCATTATTGCAGACAATCTGTTGTGCAATTCCTTTCATGTGTGAAGCGCACCTCTGCATAAATTCCAGTATCTGAATGACGAAAATATTCATGGTATTAGAAACAAAAAAGGTTTCCACAAGACATGTTCTATTGGAATACTTATGCAATTCAATGCAAAACGCATTAATTTGTTTCTTAATAATAATAAACCTTGCATTTGATACAGTGCCTTATCACGTCTTCTAAACAACAAAATACAAAAACAAAATTACATTTGTATAGCGCCTTTCATGGCAGGAGGATGTCCCAAGGCATTGGCATCTCAAAGCACTTCACAGAACAGTGAAAAAGTGAATTGACTATATTTTGTGGAAGAAACGCGGCAGTCAATTACATACTTAATTTAAATTGCATACTGGTGAACTTTACAATATCATTGCTGTAGGGAGGCACCAATTTAAGACTGCCAGAAAGAGGAGTCTCCTCTGCTTCTCTTCCACACTTCAAAGCAGTACTACTGGTGTGTCTCTTACTTCCCCTCTCAACCTCGTATAATTTATCATTCAGGAAGAAAATGGGAGAGAAAACTGAAGGAATTTAATTATTGAATTTCAATTAATGCTTGAAATTACTATTATTTTTTAAAGATACAGTATATTTATCGTCCCTTTTCTCAGGTCTTCCCACCCCATTCTCTGCCCAAAAGGTAGACAGATGGGAAACCTGCCTCCTAGACATCCTTGTTCTGCTCAATTTGGAAACTAGGTATAAAGAAATGACATATCTTCGGGGTAAGTAGCTTTCACATTTTTATTTTTTTTCTGTGGACAAATAGGCAGTATTTAGGAACTGATTATGTGGGAATTCATTCTGTTTGTAATTCCCAAAGTACTGACTGAACACCAATGAATCAGATAAATTCAGTTTCTTTGGTCCCTACCCGAGAATTCTGTTCCGTCCCTGCTGACTCAGCCCAGTTACGAGGAATTCTTCCATCCTTATCATTCAGGCGCAAATCACCTCCAGCGTCAAGTAGTTTACTAAGAATCCACTGACTACATGAAAAGGCAGCAGCATGCACTGGAGTACTTCTATCTTCACAACGGCTAGACAGAAATAGTAAAACAGATTAGTTATAGTGTACTTGTATATTACACTTCTCAGCTTAAAACAGCAAGAAAATAGTTAAGTCAGCTACATTTATTTTGCTTGTGCCAATTTGCACGTCCAAAATATTTACTTGCAGTGTTCAGTTAAGTACTTACTGGTTAGGGCTTGCTCCATATTCCAGTAATACATCTACTAATTTGGCAAGGTTCAGCAAAGCAGCTATAAAAAGTGGGGTCTGTCCAAGACTATTTATAATATCCGCACTGGCACCTGCAAACAAAACTAAAGTTAAAGCTATTTGATTCTTCGGATCAATGTCACAGACGATGTTGCAGATTACTTTATTGTAATTATCCAATTTTATACAGCTCTTTCCAGTGCATTGATGGTAATATGTGGGGTGAGGGGGATAAGCAGGTTTCATTGGGGCTGAGCTGGGTCAAAGGTGACGCACCTGACAAAGAAATATCAGAATTAAGTTGATCCTCTATAGCAGGAATTATTTCCCCTTGTCTCCTGTTAACCCTGCAGGCCAAAGCCAAATAGACAAGGTGGTAGTAGCTGGACAATAAAGGTTCTAATAAACATCTCTGGAATTTCCATGTATGGGTGGGATGAATGGAATTCTCAGTTTGGTTTGGATATTGTTAAGCATGGTGATGGTTTTCCATGTGTATCAGACACCTGGCTGACCAAAACATAGCTGAACAGGTAGCAGGAAGCTTGCTTTTTTTAAAAATATTTATTTATAAATATATTCGGTACAACAGAAATCCCAAACAAATACAATGTACAACATCTTCTGTTACAATTTTTTTCCTTATCTGCCAATACAAAATAAATTCCTTTGTTTACAGTACATTCCTTCACCGCACATAGGTTGTGCACAAGTTTTTTGGGACACTCCCTTTAAAACAGTCGGGAGTCGCCCCTGTGTACACTACATCCTTGTACTCGCCCAAACACACTCTGATAAGGCGCACTTGCCGCTTTCGGAAGGTGCCCCGATGTGCACCATGCTTAGCATACATACATTTTTAGGACGCCCTTCGGTTATATCTCGAGGGTCCTTCTGTACCTTACATTTATTTCAGTCAGTTTTGGGTGGGCTCGTGGGCTACCCAGTGGGTATGCCCTGAGCGGTTTGTGCCGGGGCGGCTCCTGCCGGGGTCAGGCCCCATCTGGTCTTTGCCGCGGTTCAGCCGAACTTCTGCTTGTCCCTCAGTAACAGTCCCTAATCCTAGCATGCGTGAGCCTGAGGCAGGCCCTCATCGTCCCATTGTCCTGCCACAAGAACCAGAGTGCCAAAGGGCCTTCTTAAACTTTTGCAATTTCCTAATATAGTTCCAAGCTTTAGCTTTTGCCCATCTGCACCTTATATTTAATATTAGGCAAGTAGCATGCATCCTTCTGGAGAGAGTACGCACTCTATTCCAGGCATAGGGAAATATTCATGCATATATGCAAATTTGATCTTCATTTGAATATGCTTAAGAATGCCAATAGTTTTCATGTGTGACGAACACCCCAAAAGTATCAATTTCAATTCATATTGCAGAACATCACACAACATGATTACATTTTAGGTCTCTTAACCATACTGTATTGCAAAAACCTTCAAAGATTCACTTATATGAACCCCCAAGTCTCGCTGCTCCTGTACCCCCTTTAAGATTATACCATCTAGCGTCTGCCCATTTCACCAATCTATCTAAGTCTTCCTGCAATCTGCTACTATCCTACTTTTCATAGCTTTGTTTCATCTGCAAACTTGGAAATTGTGCTCCCTACACCAAGGTCCAGTTCATTTACATAGATTAAAAAGAACAGTAGTCCTAACACCAAACTCTGGGGGAAACCACTGTATACTTCCCTCCACTCTGAAAAACAACCGTTGATCACTACTTTCTGCTTCCTGTCTCCCAGCCAATTTTGTATCCATGCCACTGTTCCTTCAATACAGTGGGCTTCAGTTTTGCTAACAAGTCTATTATGTTTCCGAAATTTCGGAATCGAGCAAGTCCTCTGCGGTCTCAGTAAACTGATTCATGGTCGGTCCGCAGTATTCCAGGGTACTGCTGATGATAGCCTGGCTCATTGGCAGGACCAGGAAGGGCAGACCAGTCACTGGGGGCAGGGAGTCATCCCACTCAGCTCCTGTTAACTCTGCAAGCCAAAGCCCTAATGGGTAAGGTAGTCCTAAGATGGACAAGCAGCGGGAAAGCTTGCCAGACAGAAATATCAATGGCAAGCTATGCTGTTTTAGTTGGTTAGACTCCAGATGTACCCCAACGCACACTCTGTGGTCCCTAAGCCTTGGCTCTTGCAGATCTGTGCTAATACTTTCTGGAATTAGGTAACCAGGACAAGTCCCTCCAGGGAGACAGAGTCCATTCCATTCCAACAATCTATCTCTGGGATTTCCATATGTAGTTGGAATGCATGGAAATCTCCGCTTGGTTTGAATACTCTTAAGCATGGTGATGGGTTTCCGTATCTGTTAGACACCCGGCTGACCCCCAAAAAATCAATATCTATCTGTATTTTATTTGGATCCTCCTCGATATTTACTGTTTGTATAATCTGCTCATTTTGAAATTTCTCCTTCTTCCAGGTCCAAATCATTCACAATCAGGGCAAAAAAACAGTTTCATTGGGATTAATGACACTTGCGCTTGCAAATATTTTATAATAATTTATTATTAATAAATATACCTATTGTTGTACAATTACTTTTATTACCGTCTATGTTCAGAATGTGTTCACTTCCTCCAACTCTCTACACAATAGAGAGAGGAACAGTCATCAACGACAGAGAGCAGCTGCTCAGAAACAGCACTCAATGCCAACTTCCTGCTCAGAAGAGAACACTATGGATTGTCCTCGTGGTTCGCGAGACCCGACTCTATAGAAGGCATTTCTCATGTACAAAAACTATAGAAATGATCCCCAAAAGTATAGTCTTAACCAACACACGGACCACAGTGCCTTAGCCACACATCACCGTTAGTTAACCTGAGCCTTAACTACAATGTTACTAACTTAATAAGTTTACAATCTTTTCAAGTGATCGCTTGGTCCCAAACCACTGCACTGTTCAAATAGTTGCAGAAACTATTTAAAGGAACAAACCAGAAAAATAATCTAATCCATTATCCGGTGTCTGCGCGGCTCAGAGCTGCGTAACAGTCAATTCATCATCAAATCGTAGCGCATAATGTGACCGATACCTCCTCCTCCTGTGGCAGGTTATTGCATTTAGAATAGCGAGGCCGAGCAACAGGTTACTGTTAGTGTTGGCGTCTAATCGGAGAACATAGTTAATAGAGCAAAATATACTCAATTTCAAAAAGGAAGTGGGAGTGTGCAGAATCCAGGGGTGAGCACCGTGTGTACCAGAGGTCAGACCCCCAGTGTCGGGAGGCTCAGGCCCTTTCCCTGAGGTGAGTTGGCGGCGCTCCAGGCGCTGCCCATCAGTGAGAATGGCCAATTCCTTTATTTTCCAACTCCTGATCACAAAGAATTTACAAAACCGCCGTTTTTAAAAGCAGAAAAAAATACCTTTAAGCTTCTTTGAGTGAGACTGGAACTTTTACCAATTAAAGCTGTAACTGTGAGCCACTTGGAGTGTGGAGGGGGTGACTCTCACTGCACTAATGCTGTTGTGGGAAGTACCTTCGCGCTGTTAAACCATATTTAACATTTCAAAATGAAGCCAAAACAATTTCCAAAGAACGTCAAAGGCCATTTGTTTTAATGTTAACTAATCTTCAAATTACAGCAACCAAATATTTTTAATGAAACGAAAAAATGTTACCCAATGCCGTGTCATTGCTTTACCGCAATGCCGTGACTCGGATTCGAACCGAGGTTGCTGCGGCCACAACGCAGAGTACTAACCACTATACGATCACGGCGTGCTACATGGGCTCTGTAGCTGCCGCTGAAAATTAGCTTCAAGTACCCACCTACCGCACCGCGGTACACCGTCGGCTTCCACCTGAAATGTCAGCTGTTTGTTTACAAACCCCGGAACGGTCACTGCGACCAGAACAGTACAACCTTTTACAACATCGGTGATCATAGAAATAAGTAAACGTAAACAACTCTTGGCGTCCGTTTAGATAAGCTAATCGGTTCGTGTTTTATGTGTAAGGGCTGGTCCTTTCATTAAGATTAAACGTGTTTATTATTTTTGCACGATGGGTTATTTCTTTCTGCAGAATATCAGACTACATACGGCTTAAGCAAAGTAGGGCCAACAGATGGAGAATAACAAATAAGCTTTCAGCCCTATTAAACCAAGGTACAGTGGTTTGGCAATGCACTAATGAACAAAACGCTTCCAGTGACCGGAGCAACATTCGCTTCACACACAACGCTGTGGCGCCTGAGGAGCCTCTGCTACACGTCGCCTCTGTGAAACCTAAAGAGCAAAATCTCACTGAAAGATACTGACTTCTTTCTGAAACAACACCATTCTGGAAACATCAAATGTTATTTTGAGTGTAAGGAGTAAAGATTCGGTTTGGGTTTAGGCTGCACTACATGAAATACTGGACATTAAATCCCCTAATTGTGCACTACAAAAACATGCAATCCCATGGCAGCCATCTTAATCAGATTGTGAAACTATCAAATTAGATTTTTTAAAAATAATCTTCATCGGGCAGCGCAAGGCAGCTAACAGTGTCCAGGTTAATTGTTCAAATGTTTAAACATATTAGTAAAAGGCTCAAATAAAGCCTCTGCCACTCCAGTCTGGTGGTGCTGAGAGGCGCTGTGGCTTTCTCAGTATTTTTTAGCTTCTGGTGTGGAGCCTCATGTGGAATATGAACACCAGTATAAAATCAGTTTTTATTAAATAAAATGTGCTATATTGCCTTTACATTGCTTTTCTACAATGCTATGGCTCAGTTTCAAGCCAAGGATACTGCAACCACAATACAGAATACGTTACAACTGCAGTATGCTATATGAATTCTGAAGGAAAAGTCCACTTAAAATTAGAATATAGGAGATAACGACCACGAAGAGGCCACTCGGTCCATCAAAACTGATCTACCACTGACCATTCTCAGGCCTATGAATTAAAACCTCTCTCTGGTAACATAGTCAAGCAGTTGGCGATGGTGGTATAGTGGTGAGCATAGCTGCCTTCCAAGCAGTTGACCCGGGTTCGATTCCCGGCCATCGCAGTCATTTTTAATTTAGCACATTTAAAGTTAGTAAAGAGACAGTTAGAAAGTGTGACCATAAAATCAAATTGTCTGAAGGCCCTTCTTTACCTGAATATATCTTGTAAATTCAGCTTCCCACCATCTCTTAATATTTTTACTGCCAAAATGTCTATCCATCTCTCTCTTAAACCCCTCAACTGATTTCTTCATCTATGGCTTTCTGCAGCGATGCATTCCAGTTTTTTTTATATTCTGCGAAACAAAATTCATCTTCACCAACCCAATTTGCCTTAAGTGACTGACCCACAGGGAAAACCTCACTGCTTAATTTGGCAAACACTTTCATAATCCTAAACACCTTGAAAAATTAACACTTCGTTCCTTAGCTCCATAGAATACATCCTTAACCTATCCAATATTTCACTATAGAATTATACGACAGAAGGAGGCCATTCGGCCCATCAAGTCTGTGCCGGCTCTTTGAAGAGCGACCCAAATCAATCCCATTCCCCCACACTCTCCCCATAGCCCTGCAAACTTGTTCTCCCCAAATAATTATCTACTTCTCTCTTATAATAATAATAATCCTTGCATTTGATATAGCGCTTTTCACGTCGAGAGGACATCCCAAAGCGCTGCACAGAAAACACTGTAAAGTGAATTGACTGTATATTTGTGGGCGAACGCGGCAGCCAATTGCGCACAGCAATGACCCACAAACAGTCGTAGATTGAAAATGACCAATTTATTATTGTTGGTTTATTATTATTATTAAGCGCCTTGGGACTTTCCAGTGCCTTGGGACGTGCTCCTGACATGAAAAGTGTTATACAAAGTAATCTTGTTGTTGTTATTAAAAGTTGATATCAAATCGGCTTCCACCACCCTTTCAGGCAATGCATTCCTATAATTTTGTTCCAATCTATATTGATTCTTGGCTATATTTGCTCCAAGGCAAAATACCTTTTCTGGAAAGAAGTGCCCAAATTCGTATGCATTTTGGCCCCTCCAACCTGCTTGACCCCTCTAACCTCACAAATTACCATCCCATTTCCAACCTGTCCTTAATTGCCAAATGTCTAGAACGCGTTGTCGCTAACCAGCTTTGCTCACATCTCTCTCTCCATGAGCCCCTCCAGGCTAGTTTCCGCCCCGCCCTATAGCACAGGGTCAGCGCTTGTCAAGGTGACAAACGACGTTCTCTCTCTCTGTGACCAGGGCTTCCTGTTCCTCCAAGACCTTTCCGTCATGTTTGACACAATTGACTGCTCCATCCTCGTGCACCCCCTCTCCTCCCTCATCCACCTTAGAGGGACCTCATTAGCCTGGTTTGAGTCCTATCTAACAAACTGCCTCCACTTTGTCTCTTCAAGCGTTTTTTTCCCCCGCCCCCACCCAGTCACCTGAGTCGTACCCCAGGGCTCCATCCTTGACCTCATCCTCTTCCTCATCTACGTACTGCCTCTTGGCGATATCATCCACAGACACGGGGTAAACGTCCACATGTATGTAGATGACTCATAATTCTACTTCTCCTCCTCCAGCTGCAATTCGAAATCTGTCAATGTTCTGTGGGCTTGTCTGGCTGACATCAGGGCTTGGATGAGCGGAAATGTCTTACAACTAAATGTTGACAAGATGGAACCCAACTTCCTTGACTCTCGTCAACATCTTCTGTCCTGCCTCTCTGACTCCTCATTCTCACTGTCCTATCCCTCAGACTTACCGAACCTCGACCTCAGGTTCAACCCACAGCTGTCCTTCCTACCCCACATTCAGTCCCTAACCAGAACCGCCTTCCTATGCCTCTTTCCACATTGCCTGCCTCTGACCGTACCTTACCCCAGACGCAGCTGAAACATTCATCCATGCATTCGTCACCTTCAACCTCAATTATTAAAATGCCCTACTCACCGGTCTCACTAGATCCACATAACCCAGCTGATCCAAAACTCCGCTGCACGCATACTCATCTATACTAAACTCTGTAACCTGTCACACCAGTCCCAGCCAGGCTCCATTGGCTCCCTATCGCTGAAAGGATCGATTTCAAGATTCTCACACTTTTTCAAATCTCTTCATCCTCTGGCCCCTCCCTACCTCTCTGATCTATTTACTTCCCTACCCGCTTCCTCTGCTCGACTGGCTCCGACCTTCTGGATATCTCTTGTGCCCTCTGTTTCACCATCGGTGGCCATGCTTTCAGCCACTACGCCCTGAAACTCTGGAACACTCTTCATCTATCCCTCTGCCTTGCCCCTTCCTTCGCCAACTTCAGATTGCGCCTGAAGACTTCCTCTTCAACAGTGCCTACAGTGACCTCCCCTGGCTCGGCATCATGCTCCGCTCTGGGACGCTGCTCTGCGTGAGAGGCGCTATATAAATGCAAGTTCTTATTTTCTTTCTAATCCCATTTCCGTCACTCTTGATTCCTTTCTCCCCACTGGTTTCTCTTGTTTTTGTCTTGTCTCTCTTGTTTTTTGAATTTACTGTGTGAGTGCACTCTACACCCAGGCTGCAAGCAATGTTCTCTGCTGATTTAGCCAATTTTATCCAAAGCGATACTCTGTGGGAATAGAAATGACCAAAGTGTCTATGGTTTGGAGAAGGGGGAAAAATATCAGGTATGATTAGCTGATCAGATACTGTATATACATGTTTCAGATATCAATGAATTAAATCTAGTTTGTTTTTTTTGAGAAAGTGGGTGACAAATACAGTTTGATGAAAATGCAGAAGCATCAAAAGACAAAGCACATCAATGCGAGCTTATTGTAGCTTTCAAGAGGAAAATAAACAGGCATACGAAAGAGAAGAGTTTGAATGGGATATGGGGATAAGGCAAGGAGACGGGATTCAATTGATCTCCTTGCTCTGTGAGCACGTGCGCATTCGATGGGCTGAATAGTCTCTTCTGTTCTGTAGATTTCTAGTTTTCTATTAATATCAGCAAATCAAGCGTGCTCTGCTATCAACCATTCCACAGCCTACATATTATAACCTTTCTGGTTGGCCACAAGCAACGAAATAGCTGGCAATGGTGAGCAATAGCTGCCTTCAAACAGTTAACCTGGGTTTGATTCCCGGCCTTCACTGACCTTTACGTTTGTTAAGTCGCTTAATTTAAATACCTTAATAAAGTTCAATTTATTGTTATTCTATTATACAACCAAACCAACCAACTGAATAGAACACAACTTTAAAATAAAACTGAAAAAACACCTATTGCCGTGTCATTGCTTTACCGCAATGCCGTGACTCGGATTCGAACCGAGGTTGCTGCGGCCACAACGCAGAGTACTAACCACTATACGATCACGGCGTGCTACATAGGCTCTGAGAGACATCGTGGAAATTGGCTTCACGTGGAAGGACCGGCTGATACCATCACAATCCCCACTTGAGCACTGCAGAGCCATAATAAAATAGATCATCCTTGCAACAACAACACTGAACCAATGATATCCTGACCATCTGTGACCAGGGCTCCCTCTGTCTCCTCGTCCTCCTCGACCTATCGGCAGCATTCGATACGGTCGACCACGCTATCCTACTCCACCGCTTGTCCTCCCACCTAAACCTTCAAGGCACTGTCCTTGAATGGTTTAGGTCGTACCTTTCTCACCGTCTTCACTTTGTCTCAACGAATGGCTTCTCCTCCACCCCCCGTACTGTCTCATGTGGTGTCCCTCAGGGCTCTGTCCTCGGTCCCCTCCTCTTCACCCTCTATATGCTCCCCCTCGGTGACATCATCCGCAGACATGGAGTTAACTTCCACATGTATGCGGATGACACCCAACTCTACCTTTCCTCCTCTACTCTCAACTCCACGACCACCGATGTCCTGACAGCCTGCCTGTCCGACATCGAGTCCTGGACGAGAGACAACTTTCTTCAGCTCAACGTGCGAAAAACCGAGGCCCTCCTGATTGGCTCACGTCAGCGCCTCCGCACCTCAGGCGCCGACACCATCAGCATCCAAGGCTGCACTCTCCACCTCTCAAAGCCAGTCAGGAACCTCGGCGTTTTGTTCGACCCTGAGCTGTCCTTTCTCCCTCACATCCGCACTACAACTGGCACCGCCTTCCATCACCTTCGGAACATCGCCAGACTACGGCACTACCTCACCCCTCACGCTGCTGAAACCCTGGTCCACGCCTTTGTCACCTCAAGGCTGGACTATGGGAACTCTCTCCTCGCCGGCCTTCCCGCCACCTCCCTCCACAAGCTGCAGGTCATTCAGAACTCTGCAGCTCGTGTACTGTCCCGCACCAGGCTTCGCGACCACATCACTCCCACCCTCGCTCGCCTCCACTGGCTCCCCATCCCCCAGAGGATTGATTTCAAGATCCTCATCCTCACCTACAAGGCCATTCACGGCCTTGCTCCCTCCTACCTCTCCAACCTACTATCCCCTACTTGTCCCCTGGCACAATTTGAAAAGAGAAGGGAATTTCTCCTGGTGTCCTGTCCAACAAAAGCAGATGAAATTGGTATTCAATTCCTGGCTGTTTGGGGAACAATGCTGTGCGCAAATTGGCTGCCGTGTTCACTTGCAAATATGCAGACAGTACACATTACGGGAGAATCCCGTGAAGTGTTTTTTGAGATGTTTCGACGACGTGATGAGATGCTATATCAAATGCAAGGATTATTATGATGTACACAATGCATTAACATTTCTCTGCGACTGCGACTGTCTTGCAGAGCAGCAGATGGCAGTGCAGACGTTCTCAGTCTCCAGCATCCTCTCTCACATTTATTACTTCCGTTGCCATGACTATGTGGAGCTGTTGGCACAAGTTCACCTACTGGCCGACTTCCTCGCTGAACATCCTAAGGTAGTGCATTCGGTGCAGAATGGGATTTTTAATTGTTTGATCTAATTTAAACGCCCTGCGAAGCCGCTTGGCGTGGAGGGTGCTATATAAATGCAAGTTGTTGTTGTAATCGTGGATTTTTCTTTAACTCTCGCTTAACCCCCTCCTCTCCCCAACCCACCACCAGTGAATTTTGAGCTAACCTTTTATCTTTTAACCTTTATCTTTAAAGATAAAGAAAGAAAATTCGGTATCTTGCTAAACTTGTCAGAGTTACCTCCTTGCATTAGTGTCATGGTAATCATGTAGTTATCTTATTGTGGAGTCCTGTAGCTCAGTGGTTAGAGCACTCGCTTTGCAAGTGAGAGACCTGAGTTCAATTCCAGGCAGAGGGCGAAAACAATAATAAATTGGTCATATTCAATCTACGACTGTTTGTGAGACATTGCTGTGCGCAATTGGCTGCCGCGTTCGCCCACAAATATACAGTCAATTCACTTTACAGTGTGTTCTGTGAAGCGCTTTGGGACGTCCTCCTGACGTGAAAAGCGCTATATCAAATGTAAGGATTATTATTATTATTATTATTATTATTATTATTATTATAACCAACATAAAGGAACTGGAAAGATTCCTGTCAACAAAAAAATGCTGCAAAACAGAACATGATCCCATTTTGGGTGACTAAGTGTCTGCAACAAGCCCTCGCATGTCAGGTGAAGCGCGGTTAGTTGTAGAGTCAAGTTCCAACCACTTTGTCCTCAAAATGAGCCTCAGTCTGAATTTAAGCAGTTCCTTATTGCACTATTTCTACACACTGGCCAATCTGATGTTACTTTTGAGTAAGACTACTGTTATCCCCCAGATAAAGTTGATGTCTGAAAGTGGGTTTGTGCTTCAAACCCAGAGCTACTGGGGTTGGTATTGACATGGTGGGGTTTGGGCTGGTTTCCTCTGAAATCAGTGGAAAAGAACAATGTGTAACCCACAGCACAAACTAGTCATGGGTTTGAAGAATTTGTGTGTCAGCCTGGCTCAGTTGATAGCTCTCTCGCCTCTGATCAGAAGGTTGTGGGTTCAAACCACAACTTGGGACATTGGACTCACAATCTAGGGTGCTGGGGGTGCTCTGCGTTGTTGTATGAGATGTTAAACGTAGGGCCCATCTGCCTGTTTAGGTGGATGTTAAAGATCCGGTGGCACTATTCAAAAAGAGAAGGGAGTTATTTCTGGCGTCTTCGCCAACAGTCCCCCAGATAAAATTAGTCATTCATTTCATGAAATTCTGTGGAATTTACTGTTCGTAAATTGCCTGCCACACTTGCCTACACTTTTATTACTACATCCAGTAAAGTCGCTACACTTACAGTAAATCCTGAAGGATTATTATAAGACTTCAACTCCGCTGCATGCCTGGTATGTAATTTTTACTTGGGCCATGGAAGTAGTATGGAAAATGATTTTTCATCCATCTTACAGTTAGTGAGGGAGAGGAATTCAATGATGTATCATTGGACACAACTCTCTTGCACAGCTACAGGTGTCTAGTTACAATTCTACAAGTCTGCCTCCCCTCAACTATTAAATGCAATAATAGTGCAATAAGACATAAAGTAAGAGGAAATTCTGGACAGTTTTTATATGACTGCGCTCCTACTTATCTGGCAGTAATTAGTAACCTGTTTGTTAGTCGATTGGCGGATTGCTTTCCGGAGGTAATAATCGCGGTTTTTTTTTAAAAAAAGTTGCTCACTCAATCCACTCACAACTGTTTGTGGGACGCTGCTGTGCGCAATTGACTGCTGCGTTTTGCCCATAAAATACACAGTCAGTTCACTTTACAATAACTTCTGTGAAGCGCTTTAAGACGTCTCGATGATGCGATAAGGTGCTATATCAAATTCAAGGATGATTTCGTTGTATTTTCTGTTTTTTTTTAACACAAAATCAGCATGTCAGCAGTTGTTCGTTGTTCAAGTTTGCACCTTCACCAGGGCCACTAGATGGAGCAGCACACCTGCCCCTCAGCTAAACCTGACATCTTTCCTGTTGTAAATGTTTGATTGACTACCACTGTGCTTGAACCCATTGTGGCATCTTTTATTTTGTTCCTACAAGGAACGACAGATGGTTTCATAAAGGAACCGGAAAGATTCCTGTCAACAACGGTGATGTGAGGTTATCAGATTTAGAGGTAGATACTGCGTATTGTTGGAAAGTTGTGGGAAGTTTAGCGGGGCTGATGTTCGAGTCACAACAGAAATGTTTACTGTTCTTTGTTATAACATTCTGGGTTTGTTCCTCAATTAAAGACGCTCCGAACTTACTATCTGTGTAATCGTCTTGGAGACCGAGGAGTCTCTTCAGACACTAAAGTTGGGATTGGCAACTTACTCGAACGATCTCACTCGTCCCTTTTCACATGGAAGCGTCATACAATGAGTTGTGTTATGTACAGTGACTGTTGCTGTGTGGCAGCTAGTTTGTGCCTGCAATAATGCCCCCAAATGCAGCACAATAAGTTAAGAATGAATCTGTTCATTTTGTAAACTTGTGTGAAGGAGGAATATTGGCCAGGGCACTGGGAAAGCTCCTTGCCCTTTGAAAAGGTACCAAGGGATCTTTAATGTCGACCTGAACCGTGGGATCTCCGTTTAGTATCTAATCAAAAGGATGGGCAACATGTGCTTATGGTCTCTGTTACCAGTGACTAGGAGGCTAGCACTTAAGCAGAACATCCCTATTTTAGAACCTCTTCCAACATAAGAACATAAGATTTTGCTAGACGAAAGAAGACCAAGGTTTATCCAGTTCACCTTTCACTATCCTCGCATGTACATGTCCTGTCCAAACTATATACTGTATCTCAAGACATTCCCTAAATGAAATCTTATCTAGTTTGGCTTTTGAAAGAATTGACACTTTCTGCTTCCATTGTCTCCCTATAGAGTTGTTCCATACATTTAATACTCGCTCACTGACAGCGTTTACGCAGATTTGTTTTGAATTTACCTTCCTTCAATCGCAGGCCATGGGGCAATATTATAACTTCCACCTCCCTATATTATAACTTATAACTTCCATAATAATTATTACATTATTACATTATAACTTCCACAGCTCAGACTGAGTAGAGCAGTGTCATTTCACTCGTGTTAAGTTTGCTGCCCAGAGTGGTCCTTCCTTAATCATTTCAGCATCGAGCAACCATAAATAAGGTGCGTCATCTCAGTAGTAATAATAATAATAATCCTTGCATTTGATACAGTGTCTTATCACGTCTTCGAGATGTCTCAGAACATACTGTAAAGTGAATTGACTGCATATTTTGTGGGCAAAATGTCAATTGCACATAGCAGTGTCCCACAATGAGTCATGGATTGAAGTGACCAATTTATTATGATAAATTTGAAGGAATTATTATCTCCGGAAAAGCAATCCACCAGTTGACTAACAACCGGGTTCCTAATTACTGCTAGTTAAACAGAGGCGTGTGGAATAAGAAAACTTGCTCAACATTTCGCCCTGCCTGGGAATGGAACGCAGGTCTCTCGCTTGCGAAGCGAGTGCTGTAACCACTGAACTACAGGACTCCAACGAACTTGAATGCCAGCTTATGTTTACCAGGAGTTTTACTGCTGTTTCCTGGTTTTCTAGGTTCGCGTGGTAGTGATTGACAGCATTGCGTTTCCATTCCGTCACGGCTTTGAAGATCTGTCGCTTCGAACCCGGCTCCTGAACGGGTTGGCTCAACAGCTGATTGGCATGGCTAATGACTACAAGGTGGCGGTGAGTAAAATCTGGCAAAGAGAGCAGCACGATTAGACCGGACTCGTGATGGGAGTGGGATGTGGGCATGTGCCTCTCTTGGATACCCATTTTTTTATGGGTAAATTTAGGCAGTATGTGTCAATAAGGGGGAGGGGTAATCCCAGTTGATCCTAATCCTGCTCACGTGTGCACCTCAGCCCAGGTCACCTCAGGATGGTCATGAGGAGCAGGAATCGTGGTTGATTTGTAACACTCCTTGACTGAGGGATTGAGGCCATTTGTAGCCCTCTAGTGCTGTCCCAGTTATATACAAATCAATGTATTGAAAGGAGACTCTCGCACTGTAGTTACACCCAAGACAACATTTTTAACTAGAGAAGGGAGCTGCTAAATTAGTCAGCTGTGTGCTAGCATTCAATGACGCCAGGAATCGTGTGTGTGCGATCCTGAATATCTATCGAAAAGACTCCTTATGTTGAAAGGTGTCTTTTTGAGCACATTGCGTGTGAAGTGCATTCTCGCATGCTTTGGTTTGACATATGCTTGCCATCTGGAGTTCAGAGTAACACCTCGGCTTCACCACATCTGAAGTAATAAAAGTTTAACTGGGAGAGCCAATGTTAGCCTCCACGAGGAATGTGAATTGATGGGAGATGTCAGCATGAGTCTAGGCAAGAAGGAAATCCAGGGTGTAGTGAAGCCAAACAAAGTAGATGGAAGTCTAGAAATCCACAGTCCAGGGCAGTTGATACCAGCATAGCTGCTAAACTGAAATAGCACCAATGTTTTGAATCCCTTTGATTCAATAATAAGGCCCTTTTGAGATGGGGTGGAAAATATAGTGTGTGATCACATCACCGTGCCTACGGTCACCTCCACCTCCCCCGGCTTTGCATCGTGCTCCATCACTGAAAGGTGCTCTGGGACGCTGCCCTAAGTGAGGGGCTCGAAATAAATGTTGTGTACTTGTCATCGTTGTTTCATGGGACATTCACTCCAAAAGAAGAGTCAGGATATAACTACAATCCCAACATTGTTCAAGTAGTTTCACCCAAAAGCAGATGATAGCATCCATTATGCTATCTGAAGGTGCCTTTGACTTTGCTGTTGCCCAGATTCCAGCGTTGGTTTGGGGAATATCACCTAAACGCTTTTAAAGTTGTTATCTTTATTAGAGTCTGGGTGTGTGTGGGGGGGCGGGTAATTCTGTTAAGCTTAAACAGTAACAGAATGCTTCCTCTGCATGTTTCAGTGAATGTAGTTCCTCTCAGATTCAGGAGGCCGTTCTTTGGAAGGAGCTGAGGCTTCAGTGTTATTTCTGCACTTTGAAGCAGAGGCTGAATGCCTTTGGAATGCAGCGCTTAAGGAAGATGTTAGATATTGCCTGGAAGGACAGAGTGACCAACATTGAATAGTTATTACCACTGCTCTATAGTATGAAATCTCAAGTCCCAGTCTCCCCTTCATTGCCAGCAGTTGAGATTCAACAACTAAGCAACATGAGGATATCCTGGTTGGATCCACACCACCATGCATCTGTCGAGCGAGCCGTGGTTGGTTGCTTTTAAACACAGAAACTGGAGTAGGCTATTCAGCCCCTCGAGCCTGTTCCGCCATTTCATAATATCATGGCTGATTTGTACCTCAAGTCCAGTTACCCGCCCTTGCCCCATATCCTTTAATTCCCTGACCTAACATATCTATCTATGACCTAACAAATATCTATCTAAGAAATGTATATCTTTGTATCTGTACATGCTTTTGAATGGAAACCAAGGAAGGTATCATCATCAGTGAATGGAAGAAGAATGCAGCTTTCTCCCCCCCCCCCACCATGCAATGCTTGCGTCTCAAGCTACCACAACACTGATTGATAACCTGAGGCTCTGCTGGTGATAATGCCACAATCCGGGAGCCAGCAGTGTTTAAAGGTTTCTCACTGCAGACATTTGGATAAGGACATTGCACCTGCTGTTGGTCAGAACAGAGGATAATACTCACCATAAAGGAGCTCTCCTATTCATTGCATTAGCTGCCTCCTTGTAGGGAAATAGACCGTTACGTTTGAAGTTTCCCTGGCGGCTTTAATTACTTTCTACACTTCATTCGAATGAGGGATATGCCAACTATCGAGCCTCCAGTGTCCTGTGCTGATAATGGCTCCCGTTCTAATAATAGAGAACCAGGAAGATCCTCCGTAGACTCCAGCCAGAACTGGGCTGAGAACGGCCAAGTGAAAAAGCTCCTCTCTCAGCTGAGCACATTTGGGGTTTTTAACTTCCTCTTTTTTTTTCTTCTCTTTTTCTCCCCCCAATCCGCACCCAACAAATAAAATCTGGAGATAAATTCTTGCCTGGGGTCAGAGACGAATGACTATCTGACAGTGGATGCTTTCTCTTTCAGGTCGTTTTGACAAATCAGATGACCACTCGGTTTGGACAGGGTCAGTCTAAGATGGTCCCTGCTTTAGGTAAGATGGGTTCAGTCTATACAGGGCCCAGCACTGGGTAAAGTGCACAGGGTTCATTTTGTGCTGAGTATATTCTGTGAAGTGTTTTGAGACATCTCAAAGGTGCTGTATCAAATGCAAGGATTATTGTTATTCCTATGACCAGTAACTACAGTGATAAGAATTGTGACACCTGGCGATCTTAGCTTGACAAGAGGGCATTACTGTCAAAGTGAACGCAAAACGATCAGAAAATTCAGATTTATTTCTGGTTTGAAAATCTGTATTGTACAAGTAAAGAGACTGCAAGTGTAATGTGGGATTGAGCATGAACTCACAGTGCGAGAGTGTGGGGTTGCTAATTTGTGTGTGTGTGTGGTTGGTGTGTTTGTGGTTGGTGCATGTGTATGTGTGTGGTTGATGTGTTTGTGCATGTGTGTATGTGTAGTAGTTGGTTGGTTGGTGTGTGTGTGCGTCTATCTCTGGGGTTCCCAGTCTCTGCTCTGCCACTGGAGGGGATGCTAAAGGACAAGCTGGGTGTTTCCCTATGGGAGCGAGAGTCATCTGCAGATTATTCCCATATGACAGTTAACAGTGGCAGTACTGAAGGTTCCCCAATTCATTGTGTCGGGTGCAGTGAGAAAACCAAATGTGACTGAATAATAATAATAATCCTGGCATTTGATACATCATCTTAATCCTGTCGTTGAGACATCTCAAAGCGCTTCACAGATTATACTGTAAAGTGAATTAACTGTGTGTTGTGTGGGCGAAATCAACTGAAATCAATTAGTTTGTTTTTATTTTTGAGAAGGAGTTGCAGAATAACGTGTACAGTTTTGTGTGGGATCCCTATCTCCCTTTTTCTCTCTCCTCCTTTCCCTCGGGAATGCTGAGGCTAATTCATCTCAGTTCTCTTTGATCAGGTGAAAGCTGGGGCCACGCAGCCACTCTGCGCTTGATTCTTCACTGGGAAGGCAAGCTGAGGTAAGGGCTCAGTGAGGATTATACGGGGAGCTGCCAAGCAAGTGCAAAGGTGGATTTGAATGCTGGGCTTAGTCCTCAGGGGGCAAGGGGAAAGCGTGAGCATTGCCCACCTTCCTTTGTTTGATTGGCGCTTCTTGTTGGCTTGTAACTTGACAGTGACCGATTTTATTCAGTTATGGTCCATTTGATCTCATCCTCGCAGAATCTGTACTCCACTATACAGTTTTCTCATTCCGCCTTCTTAAATGAGTCCCTGCCTCATCAGCTTCCTGGGAACCGGGTCCAAGCAGTCTGTTCCCCTTTCTGGGTGAAGAAATCCCATCTGGTGTCTGTACACAAATTAATTAAACTGGACACTGGTGCCCAGACACATGACAGTACTGCAGGGTTCTGAATATTGAGCCTTCAATCATCTTTCTACACCTACTTTCACTGCCCTCCATTCCCCTGATCCCAACACTCTGCTCGGGTCCAAATCCCTGACCGTCTAGCGCCTTAGGATATCTTCCCAATGTAAAAGGCGCTATACAAATGTAATTTGTTGTTGTAACAAAGAGGCATTGACTGTCTGTGGAGATTTGCACTTTGTAATGGGACAGAAGATGCGATAATGAGTTGCAACCCTGGATCTAATAATAATTAATTGCCAGAGGCGATGTCCTTTGGATGAGAGTTTAAACAAAAGTCCTATCTGCCTGCTGAGGTCGATGCTAAAAGATTCCCTGCTGCAATTTGAAAAGAGAAGGGAATTTCTGCTATTGTTGTCCTGGACAACAATACCCCCAGATGAATTGGTCATTCACTTCATGAATTGGTCATTCAATTCAGAGAGACCTGGGTTCGATTCCCGGCAGGGCGAAATCTTGGTCAAGTTTCCTTACTCCACACCTCTGATAATAATCCCTCAAGAAAAAAAACAATAATAAAATTGGTCACTTCAATCCATGACTGTTTGTGGGACACCTCTGTGCGTAATTGGCTGCCGCGTTTCGCCCACAAATATACAGTCAATTCACTTTACAGTATATTCTGTGAAGTGCTTTGAGACGTCTAGAAGACGTGATAAGGCGCTATATCAAATGCCAGGATTATTATTATAGTTTTAGGGAATCCCTTGCTGTGCGCATAGTGGCTGCTGTGTTTGCCTGCAGGAAAATGGTTCCAACACTTGACAGCTATTACGCTGAAGTGCTCCGAGATATTTCAGTGTGATTGGGGGCTACAAAAAAAACCGTGTTTTTCAGCCATTCTGAATTCTCGAGTTTTACGTCCCTTTGATCGACAGACCCAAAATTCACGACTGGACCTACCTGGTGTCCTGCCTTGCTGGACTACCGTGTGGTCACTGTGTGTGCATGAGAGTGCACGTTCGTGAGCACAGCGCTGATAATTTGAACTAGGTCTCTGTACCGTACCAGGAGCACTGAGGTTATAATTTTGCAGATTAGCTTTGTCATATTTAATTGCCAAACGTGTTGCGTTTTTTTTAATACACACACACACTATGCTGTTCAATGTGCATGATTGAGTGACCCTTCGAATCATGTGAATGAAATTGGTGCAGGGTCACGCCTCCTCAGCCCCTACGCTCCTCGGCAGAGTGTGATAATAATGATGGCTTTAATAAGAAAATCCACCAGGCCTTGATGATAAGCCGCTTTTCTAAAGCCTTTGCTTTCAGCTTGTGCTTCCTCTCTGCCTTCTTTGCAGGTTCGCCTCGCTTTACAAATCCCCCAGTCAGAGAGAGGCCACAGTGCCGTACCAGATAACCGTGAGTACCTCGCCCTTCTTGTTGCTGTTGTTTTGTTTCTTATTTTAGTTTTGAATTGAATTGAGACCTGTTGGCAAACCTTCGATGCTTGGCAATCTAGGTGCTGAGGATTGTAACGGATTGAGGTCCGCGGGCGGGAGGTGATGGGCGGCACCACATCTTCGTTCGCAGTGCTTTGAGACTTCTCGGAGACGTGCTAAGGCGCTGTACCAAAATACAAAGTTTATTACAGTATATACACAATATATACATCCAATCCCGCCCGATCCAACCGTCCCCTGTGACCCACATGACCACGTTTACCTTTGAGCCACCGCCGGAAGGATTGCATTGATTTATTTACTTGACATTCCGGTTCCAGAGATATGGTGTTCGCCCCCCACCCACACACACACACACACCTCTCCCCTGCTAACCACCACATGGGTGTGCGTCCCTGCTCGGTCATGTGCATCGAGATCCCAAAGCCTGCCCCACAGGGGAAGGATTTGCAGCATCCAAATCCGCCACACGTGGCTGCCACAAACACCCGGTGTTCCCTGGACAGTCGGCAGCCTTCTGCTCCAATAAGACTCTGGGTCAATTGTATCCATCAGCCCCAAAAATCAGCTGATCTATGGAAGCAGTTCTCGCCTCCACAGCTTCTTCTCTCCATCCTGAGGCTCTCCGTCCATTAAGCTCCAGCACAATCTTGCTCTGACATGCTGGTAAATAACCACTTTGCGCAGTCGTGGACTGAATGGAAAGATTTGGGTTTGGAACTCGAGACAGAAGTTCAGGCCGCGCACAGAGACTTTAGTTGTGGACTTCACCTAAAAGGACCTGACCGAACGTGTTCCTTCCCACCCTCTGCGAGTTTTTGATCCAGTCAGTCAGCCTGGGCTGGGCTGGGTTGGAAACCAACCAAGGCATTTTTTTTTATTTGCATAGATTCTAGAGGATAAGGCACTGCCAATAGCCTTGTTAACATACAAGTGTGGCAATGTATATAAAACCTGACATGAATGGCCTCTTGTCACGAGCGCTAATAAACAGTGCCATGAATACGTGAGCGTGTGAATGTACTGACCTTTTGAGTTAATTAATGCTGCACTTTCCGTTTTCGGCTGTTCGTATTGTTTCCAGGAACCATCTCCTTCTCGCTTCTTCACTCGACAATTTTTACATCTCTGAGCCTTGGAATCATAGAAATTACAGCACAAAAGGAGGCAGTTTGCCTCATCGAGCCTGTGCCAATGCCAGCAATTGCACTGGAGTCAGCTGCTTTGTCCCAGTTCCCTGCTCTTTCCTCGTAAGGTTTCCTTTTATGGTTTCCTTTTATGGAAACCTTAGGCAAGTTTCCTTGCTCCACACGCCTCTGTTTACCTAGCAGAAAGTAGGACCCTGGTTGTTAGTCGATGGGCAGATTGCTTTCTGGGAATAATAATCCCTCGAAAAACAAATGTGGTCACTCAATCCACGACTGTTTGTGGAACACTGCTGTGCGCAATTGGCTCCCACATTTTGCCCACAAAATACACAGTCAATCCACTTCACAATATATTCTGTGAACCGCTTTGAGACGTCTCAACGATGTGACAAGGTGGCAATATCAAATGCAAGGATTGTTATTATTTGTGTTTCTCTTCAAATGCTCAAGTTATTTCTGAATCGTAAATGTTATGGTCTCAGCTCCAATACGCTGTATGTGCCACTGATTGTAACTCCCCCACTCACACACACACACACACACTTCATTTACCAGCAAAATGCGTGATCCAACATCCTGTTCCTAGGCCACATTATCATAGAATTATACAGCACAGAAGGAGGCCATTCGGCCCATCGTGTCTGTGCTGGCTCTTTGAAAAGAGCTTTTCCAATTCAATCCCACTCCTCTATTTTCTCCCCATAACCCTGCAAACTTGTCCTCCCCAAATAATTATCCAAAACAATTATGAAGTTGTTCATGACATTATTTCAAGTTACACCAGAGCCTCCCCCACCTCACACTCACACATACCAGAGCCTCCCCCACCACACACACACACACACCAGAGCCTCCCTCACACATACCAGAGCCTCCCCCACCCCCCCACCACACACACACACCAGAGCCTCTCTCACCCCACACTCACACATACCAGAGCCTACCCCACCCACCCACACACCAAAGTCTCCCCCACACCCCCAGACACATACAAGAGCCTCCCCCCCTCACACACACACACACACACCCCAGAGCCTCCCACCCACACCAAAGAACGAATTGAAGAAGAATATGTTTCTTTCAGAAGAGGATCGCCCCTGAAGGGGGCTTGAACCACCAGCCTTTCGGTTAACAGACAAACACACTAACCCATTGCGCCACAGAGACTTCTCTGTGGTGCAATTATCACTGGAGAATGGGGGGGGAATTGAGTAGAAGTTCCTGAGGGGAGAGTGGGGGACAGAGAGCTCCTTGTTGTCTGGGTGTGGGGAGACTCTGGTGTGGGTGGTGGGGGAGGCTTTGGTGTGTGTGGGGGGGGGAGGCTCCGGTGTGTGTAAGGTAGGGTTTGGTCGAGGGCTGGTATTGTTCCTTGGGCTAATGCAGGAGAAATGCAATCTCCTGATGGTCGAGTTTGAAAGTGATGCTGCTCTTTCTGTTGTCGTCTTTACAGTCGCACGGGTTCCGTGACATCCAGCCCCCCGGACCGTTCTCGTCCTCGCCGGTGACAGAGAACCCACGAAAGCGGCCCCGGGCAGAGGAGCAGGAGGAGCAGCACGAAGAGAAACACTCGGCTCCCCCACTGAGAACCAACCAGCGTGTTGTCTAGTCCGGCTGCAGGTTAACCCTAGCTCTGTGTGGTGGACACTGAATCTACTACCCGGGGTCTTTCAATCCCATACTTACCTGGGCAGAGAGATGTTTCAGATGGTTTTGATCTGGTGTGTCCAGATCCAGATTGTCATTTGCCTTGCACTGTGCGGGCCCCTGATTCCAGATGGGGGCGAGAGTCTGCTTCAGACCTTTTATCAGGAAGTGAAATTAAATGTTCTTTACAGCTCCCTCTCTCTCTTTCTCTGAACAGTTCCAGATCTCAGCTGGATTCCCTCCTCCTCTTTCCTCTATTCTTTCCTTCTCCCCCTCCCTCCATCACCACAATAAGAGAGGAACAGTTTAGAGAAAAGCAGTCAGAGAACCATTAAAATAAAAATATTAATAATTTGTTCACTCAATCCACAACTGTTTGTGGGACGCTGCTGTGCGCAACTGGCTGCAGCGTTTCACCCAGAAAATATACAGTCAATTCCCTTTACAGTATATTCTGTGAAGTGCTTTGAGACGTCTTGAAGACGTGATAAAGCGCTTATACAAATGCAAGGATTATTAATTACAGGTAGAGGGCACTAATGCGGGTATTGAACAAGGCTGCTCCACATGTGGAGTGTGCTCTTGCTGTTAATTGACAGTCACTGGGGTCCAATGTATTTCCACTTCTAAGAGGATTCCTTAATCAGGAAGTCAGAATTAACTCACCGGCCCACAGAGACTCCACTGCAACACAATCTATTTTGGGATCTGTGCTCCCACATTTACCAGACAACGTCTCCGTTTATCACGTATTAAAACTCACGATCCGTTTCTATTTTTTACTTTGACCAAAGTTGTTTCTGTTTTTCTTATCTCGAGTGTGACGCCTCTCTTGCTCTGAGGAGACCACACTATTTCTCTCTCCTCTCCTCCCTTCCCCTCCTCCGCCCCCCCATCTCACCACAACCGTCGCAGCCATCCTTTAATCTCTTATGTTGGCCACAAAGATCAGACGCTGGCCTCCAGCTGCTGTGTCTCTCTCTCTCTCTCTCTCTCTGCAGTTTATCTTGTAGCTTTTGTTTTAAATAAATACATTTTGTGATCGTCTTCACTGAATTGATGTTTGCTTGCCTCGTACTTGCCTGCCATCGGCTGCTAAACCCATCGCCAGGGCTCGGTTTGGGAGTTAGCTGGTACCTTAGGAATCTGAGATTACGTAAAATATACAGCACAAGAAACAGGCCATTCGGCCCAACTGGTTTATGCTGGTATTTATGCTTCACATGAGCCTACTCCTACCCTTCCTTAACTAAGCCTTCAAGCATAACCTTCTGTTCCTTTCTTCCTCATGTACTTATCTAGCTTCCCCTTAAATGCATCTATGCTGTTTGTCTCAACTACTCCTTGTGGTAGCAACTTCCACATTCCCACCATGAGTAAAGAACTTTCTTCTGTCTTCCCTATTTGATTTATTTTATATTGATGGCCCCTAGTTTTGGTCTCCCCCACAAATGGAAACATCTCTATGTTTACCCTATCAAAACCTTTCATAATTTTAAAGACTTTAATTTTCGAGTATGCTTGTGACTAAATGTATTCTTGGAGTTTCAATCCCTGCTTTCTGCTGACTTAGTTGATTTCTTTTGGCCTCAGTGTGACAGCGCTAAGGAAGGGGGTTAAAAATCAGCCCTGGTTCCCATCCCTAGTCATTTGCCTTGTGCTGTGCATACAGAACAGATGCCTTCCTCCCTTCCCACACAAGCACACAGTTGAATAGGCTAATGACTCTCTGTCTGACCATAAAGAATGGCCACATTGACAAGGTAGCAGAGGGCAGCTTGCACTTAATATAATAATCCTTGCATAAGAAGAGGAAGGAAGCTTTCAAAAGTATTTGACATATTGCGAGAAGAGTCGAGTGGGTGAAGGCTTGAATGTGTACGTTTGGGATGACCTGCTTTGCTCTGGTGCAGGACAAAACCACTAGAAAAAACCAGTTTGAGGAAGTGAGACAGCATTTCTGTAGGGAAAGGAGCTAAATACAGTGAGTTTCAGGGCTGGAGAATTGTCCATGGGATGGACGAGCCAAGGGAATGTCACAATGCATTTCATTTCTAAACTACAGCAAGAAATTTTAAGTCAGTTGAGTCCATGAACAAGATCTGTGCTTCTTTTCCCCTTTTCATGCCCTGTTGCAATCGCCCCTGCCCTTTTTCTGATCTGTGGTCAGTACTGCTCTGAACTTGCTCACTTGGACTTCCCAAACTCTTCCCTACTTTTTCTTCCCTGCAACCGGAGACATCTCAACGATGTGATAAAGCTCTATATCAAATGCATGGATTATTTTTATTATTATCTGCACATTGTTGAATGAAAATGAAGCTCATCCATTAACTTTTTTTCCTAGGACCTCATCACTGAAAATCTTACCTCTCTGTCTTCCTACTTGTGTGTTTTAATAACTGAAGGTAGCATTTCCTAAACCACGTTCTTAATCTCGCCTACACTTTTCGACTCTGGATATCGATTTCTGATGTCCTGAACTATGAGACTTGACCTTATTAATTTCCCTCCAAAAAAGAGCTGACATTAAAAAAAACAAGGAGCTTGGCACAGGAAGAAGGGGTTTGTCTGCAACTCAAAAGAGGTCAATAAGGCACAACTTTTTGACTTGAATTCCCAGTTTAGACTACTGTTTCAGTATAATAGTGGGGGTCATTGGATGTGCCAATCTGCAGATGAGATGTTAACTGAATTCCTATCTCTCTGTTCAGGTGGACGTTAAACATCCAATGGCAATACAGTATTTACAATACAAACTTACATTGACGCAGTGCCTTTCACATCGGGAGGACGTCCCAAGGCGTTGGACCCGAGTGGGGGCGGGGGTGGGAGTTTGAAAAGTATCTCCCAATCCACATTAATTGGTCATTCTTTGACTTCATGACTGTTCAAAGGCACTTTGCTGTGGGCAAAATGATTGCTGTCTTTGCCTCCCTGCAAAAAAAAATCCAGTCATTACGTGTGATTGCAGTTAACGTGCGGTTTTGAGACATTTCGACATTTTAGATGTAATAGAAAATGTAACTGTTCAATTATCACTCTCGTCATTTTATAGGTCTAATCCCTGGGGCTACAAGCAGGGAGAATACGGCAAAGCCAGTCAGTTTTCTTTAAATAGGCTCCAGAGGAGAGACCAAGGAATAAGATCAATTGTGTAATTTCTGTTTTAAATGGCAGTGACAGATTTGCAGTGTCTGTCCTGTGTGTGCTGTCCACAGCTGCTGTTAAGAGATGCTGCACCTGAACACTGTGTGTGACTGCCTGCTGGGATCAGGGCCGTTCTGGACATTGCGGTATAAAATCTTTCCCCTGTTTCTGCCAGGTAATGATCGTACTGTCAATTCCGAGTCCCACTATACACCTGTTCCCTTGTGTGTTTCGTGGTGATCTTTAAGGTAGGAGCTTGTATCCTACAATCCTGCCCTTTCACTCTAAGTCTTGCTCTCATTGTCTTGTTTCATTGTCCTCTTTCTCCGCCGCCCGAATACTCGCCTGCATTAAACTCTGTACCCTCGTCAGACCAGTCCGAGCCAGGCTCCACTGGCTCCCTATCACCGAACAGATTGATTTCAAGATCCTCGCACTTGTCTTCAAATCCCTTCGTGCCCTGGCACCTCCCGATCTTTCAGACCTGCTTACCCTCCACCCCCCCCCAACCCACACCCTGCTGCCTGCGCTCGATTGACTCCAGCATCCCGCTTGCCTCCCGTGCCCTCGGCTTCGCCATCGGTGACCGCACTTTCAGCCACCACGCCCGGAAACTCTGGAACACGCTTCCTCTATCCGCTTTGCCCCCTTCCTTCCCGATCTTCAGATCGTGTCCGAAGACTTCCTCTTCGACAGTGCCTACAGTGACCGCCCCTGGCTCGGGGTCACGCTCCGCCACTATCAAGCGCTCTGGGACGCTGCTCTGCGTGAGGGGCGCTATATAAATGCGAGTCGTTGTTTTCTTTCTAATCGCCATTTCCGTCACTCTCGATTCCTTTCTCCCCACTCGTTTCTCTGTGTGCCTCTTGTGTTTTGGGGCTCGCTGTGCAGGTGCACTGTACACCCGGGGCTGCAACCGATGTTCTCTGCTGATTTAGCCCGTTTCATCCAAAACGATACTCCGTGGGGATAGACATGACCAAAGTGTCTACGGTTTGGAGAGAGAGAGAGAGAGAGACAGTCAGTGTGGTGCGGGGGGTGGTTGCTGGTGGGAGGTGGGAGACGTCAGGTTAGCTGATCGACTCGACACGAGCGACAATAATTGACACGTTACATGGCAAAAAGTGCTTCGTGATAATAAACAGTGATGGTAATCTTCGCGGTCGACGCAGCGCCGCATCACGTCGTCGAGACCTCGACGTCTCGGAAGCGCTTCGCGGGAACATAGGGGGGGGATGGGTGGGAAGGTCAAGGGAGCCGTCCCCCCCCCCCCCCCCAGGGGGAAGGGAAGGGGGGGAGGGTGGGTGAGGGGTAGAGGGGGGGGGGGGGGGGGGTTTGGAATCATCTGGGAGTGAGGGGAGGGTGGGGGGGGAGGGAGGGGTGGGGGGGAGAGGGAGGGGTGGGGGGGGAGAGGGAGGGGAGGGGGGGGAGGGGGAGGGGGGGGAGAGGGAGGGGGGGGGGGAGGGGTGGGGGGGGAGGGAGGGGGGGAGAGGGGGGGGGGGGGAGGGGGGGGGGGGGAGAGGGAGGGGGTGGGGGGGAGAGGGAGGGGTGGGAGAGGGAGGGGGTGGGGGGAGAGGGGGGGGGGGAGAGGGGGTGGGGGGGCGGACAGGTTCCGTCGGGTGTGCTCTGTAATGCAATCTGAGAGAGTTCTGGGGTGGGTGGGTGGGTGGTTTTGGGGGGGTGAGGGCTGGCGGGAGCGCGCGCAGGTGGGTGGGTGAGCGCGCGCGCCTCCTCTGAGAGGGGGGGCGCGCACGCTGGTGGCGTCAGCGGGGGCGGGGGCGCGCACAGCCAGACTCTCTCCAAGAGATAACGCGCAGCCCTCAGCGCTCAGACACCAGAGCGGACAGCGCTGCGCTCACACTCTCTCTCACACACACTCTCTCTCTCTCATACACTCTCTCACACACACACTCTCTCACACTCACTCTCTCACTCTCTCACACACACACACAGCAGCAGCTCACCCCACACCCTCACCTCCCCCCCCACCCCCACCCCAGGTCTCCCCCCCCCAGGTCTCCCCCCCCCCCAGGTCTCCCCCCCCCAGGCTCCCCCCCCCCCCCAGGTCTCCCTCCCCACTCCCCCCCCCAGGTCTCCCCCTCCCCCGTCTCCCCCCCCCCCAGGTCTCCCCCCCCCCCAGGTCTCCCCTCCCCAGGTCTCCCCCCCAGGTCTCCCCCCCCCCAGGTCTCCCCACTCCCCAGGTCTCCCCCCCCCCCCAGGTCTCCCCCCCCCCCCAGGTCTCCCCCCCCCCCAGGTCTCCCCTCCCCCCCCCCCCCCCCCGGTCTCCCCCCTCCCCGTGGGCTCCGGGAATGAGAAGCGATGGCGGTGTGCGCGAGTGAGGAGAAAGCCTTCCGGAGGTTCCTGGAGCTGCTGCTGCGGGACTTCAGGGCTCCCGGTGCCGAGGGGGAGCCGCCGCCCCTCAGACCCGTCTCCAACCACATCCGAGAGGAGGAGGTGGAGGGCGAGTGTCTGGATCTGTGCCTCCAACATCTCTGCAAATAGTTAAGTGCCACCGAACCCCCGACGTCTCCCCTTCTGTTTCTCCGTTTGATTCTTTCATTTCATCATTTTTTTTTTAAAAAAAAATTAATTATTTCTTTATTTGATTCTTTTGTTTAACTTTTTTTTAAAAAAAATGTCATTATTTCTTCATTTGATTCTTTTTATTCGAATTCTTTCTTCATTTCATTCTTTTTATTCGAATTCTTTCATCATTTGATGCTTTTATTCTAATTACTTCTTTATTTGATGCTTTTATTTCAATCATTTCTTTATTCGATTGTTCTTTTATTTGATCCTTTTGCTTTCATTACTCCTTTGGTTTGATTCTGTCTTTAATTGTCTCTTCAGTTCTGCCTTTACTTTAATTATTTCGCTGTTCAATCGTTGCCTTTCTTTAATTCTTCCTTTCATTCTTTGCTCGTTTATTTAATACGTTCACTCTTTATTCATTTCTTTCTTGGTTTCTTTCTTGATTGATTTACTTCTTTATTGAGACTCTCCTCTCCCAAGATAAGCTGATCTGAGTTGTGGTTCCAGCAACAATTTATAGGGTAACTGTGCAAATGCAGAGTGTAACTGACTAACCTTCTCATCCTGATCATTGTAATCACCATCATTGCCAGCGTTAATCAATCAATCAATCATCAATCAATCAATGAATCAATCGGATAAATATAAATTTTGGAGCATTTTTAAGACTTTTACATTGATGAAAAGGCTTTTTTTCCTCCAATTTTTTAAAAAAAGTAACCCATGCAGAAGGCAACTAACCTGGGCTAATAGTAATGATTGTCACCAGGAAGCAATCAATCAATAAATAAGATAAATCGGAAGCATTTTAGGACATCTACATTTAGGAAAGTTTTTTTTTCAAATGTCTATACTGTGTGTGTGTGTGTGTGTGTATACACCTATATATGAAGGCGTTTAAACCAGTAAAAAAGGAGCCTTGAGTTCGAAATAACTCGGGTCGAAAGCAGAGAGGGAATCAGGTTTATGGTAAAAAAATATATATATGGTGTGTGTCTGTGAGTCGGTGGGGCGGGGGGTTGGTAAACCAGTGTGTGTATTTGTGTACAGACGGGGGAGAAATGTATGAGGTTTCAATGCAAATAGGGCAATCGGTAATCCCCTGGTAAGGTTTCTGTGTGGGTTACATGTGCAGTGTTAGAGAAAGGAGAACATCGTGTTTGCAATTCTTCCTTCATTCCCTCCCAACGAGACTGTCAGATGGCAATATACATTTGACATTGAAATCTCTTTATAGCAACATGTGTGGAGTAGAGGGAGAGAGAGGCAGACAGAGAGAGAGAGGTAAAGACACAAAAAGAGAGAGAAAAAGACATAGAGGGGGAGAGAGAGAGAAAGAGAGACACAAAGAGAGAGAGAGGGGAAAAAGACATAGTGGGAGGGAGAGACAGACAGAGAGATAGAGACACAAAAAGTGAGGAAAAAGACCTAAAGTGAGAGACAGACAGAGAGACAGAGAGAGAGCCAGAGACACAAAAAGAGAGAGAAAAGATATAGAGGGAGAGACAGAGAGACAGAGACAGAGAGATAAGCGAATTAGAGTGAAATTGAGGGAAACTGCAAAATATTCTCATTCCCTGGATTTCTAACCATTATTTATATACATATATATATATAAATGAATGGTCAGATGACAAGACTGATCGATAATTTGTGTTCTGGCCTTTGGTGATTTGTGTTCATTCAGTCCCTGAAATAGATCCCAGGTGTGGGCAGAAAATCGCTCGACGTCTGTGCACTGATTATTCTGTGTAACATTAGCTGTACAGAGGGATTTATCCCCCCCCCCCCCCCCCCATCAAGGCAAGTCGAGGTCTCGAGGCAAAATCTATATTTTCTTTAATAAATTTTAAAAAATCGATTCGTTATTTCCTCCATAACAAAGAATGCAATAATCAAAAGTTATTTTCCCCCCTCAATTTCACTCCAATTCCCCAATCTCTCTCTCCTCTCTCTCTCTCTCTCTATGTCTCTCTCTATTTGGGGATTTAAATACCTGGTCAGGTAATATAATATATATATGTGTGTCCAGGTGGGAAACTGTTGCCCACCAGTCAGTTACATTGTGTGTGTGTTTAAAAATAAGACATGATCAAAAGGAGATGGATTAGGGTTTATTTGCAAGTACTGTACTGTACTGTTGGATATTGTTGGCGTTTTGCTCCCCATTCATGGGTGTATTTTAATTTGAGTTTAAATGAATTGACGGTCCTTTCCTCGCATGTGTGGTGCGAGGATGTTACTCGGAGGAGAACGAGTGCTACATTTCTTGACTATATTGTGTGTGAGTCTGTGTGTGTGTCTGTGTGTGTGAATCTGTGTCTGTGTGAGTTTCTGTGTCTGTGTGAGGTTCTGTGTCTGTGTGAGTTTCTGTGTCTGTGTGTGTGTCTGTCTGTGTGTGTGTGTCTGTGTGTGTGAGTTTCTGTGTGTCTGTGTGTGTGAGTTTCTGTGTGTCTGTGTGTGAGAGTTTCTGTGTGTGTGTGTGTGTGTGTGTCTGTGTGTGTGAGTCTGTGTCTGTGTGTGTGAGTCTGTGTGTGTGAGTCTGTGTCTGTGTGTGTGAGTTTCTGTGTGTCTGTGTGTGTGAGTCTGTGTGTGTGAGTCTGTGTCTGTGTGTGTGAGTTTCTGTGTGTCTGTGTGTGTGAGTCTGTGTGTGTGAGTTTCTGTGTGTGTGTTGTTTCTCTTTCTCTCTCGCACATAGACAGACACAGATGAGCTGAGCTGTGGTTGAGGCGACTTAGCAGAGAGACAATAGACCATGGCAGGATTAATATGAAACGATACCATATTAGTAACCCAATCCATCACAGACTGGCTGCTCCGTTTTTACATTGTTAATGATACTAGTGTTTTTTTTAAAAACATGTACAATAAAACTGACAGAATGTGTATTTATGAAATGGAAATGAGAGCACGGAAATGCAAAATAGGAGGTTTTAGTTGTGTTACTACCCCACCAACATTCTCATAAACATTCTCCCTATGCAAAACGGAGGTGGTGTGAGCTCCTAATAGACTAACCTTGGAAATTGGTTCCTTTTCTCTCTCTCATGCTCTCATTCTCTCTCTGTGTCTAGTACTGGAAGTGAATTCTCTTACAGAAACTTCCTCGATTCATTCCTCACTTTCTTGGGAGCCATTGATGATGATGATAGTAATTAAATAATCCTTGCATTTGGTATAGCGCCTTATCGCGTCTTCGAGACGTCTCAAAGCGCTTCACAGAATGTACTGGAAAGTGAATTGACTCTAGATTTTGTAGATAATATGATTTCCACAGCTATATTTTTCCCCAGGTGGGAAGAGAAGGTTTCTGTCCCTCTCTCTCCCCTCCCCATGCTCAGTCAGTGTTGCTGTCACCTTTCAATCGCCTCTGAAATAAAATTGAGGGGGGGGGGCGATAGAGATACTGTGCTCCACCTTTAAATGAGTCATTTATAATAATAATCTTTGCATTTGACATCACGCTGTTGAGACGTCTCAAAGCACCTCACGGGGTATACGTAATGTGGATTGACAGTATTTTGTGGGTGAATTGACTACTCAAAACAGCCAGATCCAAATTTAGAAATGATTTCTGATTATTATGCTCAATTATGCTTAACACAATCAGAATTAGAGCAGAGTACTGTAGCAGCCGCGGGCTTTTAACACTAAACACTAATTGTTAATCCCACACACTAATTTTTTTTACTGCAAAAAAAATGCAAGTTTACGATATACCTCGAATATGAGCCCTTTTTTAAACCAAAAAATAGCTAATAGCCGTGGTGATTGACATTAAAACGACATCGGGTCTAAAATTTGTGAGTCCTGAGTTGAAATCCCAGTGTTGGGATGACATCAATTCATAATCTCATTCCCAACCTCCCCCGTAGTCACAGATTTGGCGTAGACATTATCTGCCCCTGGTGTCCCAAGGCATCCAATCTTCCTGTCGTTCACAGGAGAAAGATAAGATATGACAGCACTCTCTACAATAGTGCTATCAGCCTAATGCAAGGAAATGGTTCTGAGGAGGAAGCTTTGTAATGTTTTGTTGTTAGCAAAAGAGCAGTAGACAAAGCCTTGGACTGTCCAGCGCCTTGGGAAGTCCTCCTGACATGAAAGGCGCTGTGTAAATGTAAAGTTGTTGCTGTTAACTTGTCCTTGTGTGTGTGTGTGTGTGTATGAGAGAGACTTAAGTTATTGCATTCTAAGTTATAAGGTATCCAGTTGATCCTATGATCAGCATTGGTGATCTTCTCCTTCTCAGTAAGACTCAATTGACTATTGGTTAGTTGTTGTTTGTGTACGTGATGCAGATCTGCACTGTTTTTTCTTGTTCTGTGCTGTGTGCATTACGTAATCATGTTAAGTACTTTTTCAGTCAGTCTCTGTCTTCCTTGACTGACCATTAATTGAAGTCCCTGTCACAGGACTGAGTGATGGCTTTTATTTGTGGGGACAGTTGCAGTTATGTGACTTGAGTGCATTCCATTCCAACAATCCATCTCTGGGATTTCCATGTGTAGGTGGGACGCATGGAAATCTCAGCTTGGTTTGGACAGCCTTAACCCTGGTGATGGGTTTCCGCGTGTGTCAGACACCCGGCTGATCAAAAAAAAATCTTTAATGTGACACAATCAATTTTTTAAAAAAAAGTTACATTATTGAATCGATCAATTGTATTTTCCTCCCTGTTTCCTTGCTGAGCGCCCCTGCCTCTCTCCTGTGCCTCACTGCCCACCCTCTCTCCCTGGACTTGTAGGAGTCCTGCAGTGTAGTGGTCGGCCTGCTCGCCTCGCAAAGAAGAGGACCCAGGTTTGATTCCCGGGGGAGGCGAAACTTAAGCTTCCTTACTCCATACACCTCTGAGTAGGAACCCAGTTATTAGTCGGTTGGCGGATCAAATTGGTCCCTCAATCCACCGTTGTTTGTGGGACACTGCTGTGCACAATTGGCTGCCGCGTTTCGCCCACACAATACACAG